CGAAGACCGTCAGTCTATAGTAAAATGGAGGACTCAAATCGTCCTTATTTATTCAAGATCAGAATGTTTGTTTTCGACGACAATATATTTATGTTTATATATTTATATCATTTTCGTTTCGAAGACCGTCAGTGTACAGTAAAATGGAGGACTCAAAACGTCTTTATTTATTCAAGATCAGAATGTTTGCTTTCCTTGACAATATATTCTCATTTATATTTATATTTATATCATTTTTGTCCCAGAAGATCGTCAGTGTATAATAAAATGGAGGACCACTGGAGGGTTGATGACTGCGAATGTTTAAGCATTTATGGGAACTTTGAATTCTCAAGAAATTACAAAATGCACTTCATATGCAGAAATACTAAACATACATAAAGTGAGATACGAATTATTATATCTAGGGGTTGAGACAACCCCCCCAAAGTTCCCATTTGGTTAATTCTATTAATAAAAACATGAATTTGCCTAAAGATCCACAACAGAATGTTTGTTCTCCTCTCCTCGACAATATATTTATATCATTTTCGTTTCGAAGACCGTCAGTGTACAGTAAAATGGAGGACTCAAAACGTCTTTATTTATTCAAGATCAGAATGTTTGCTTTCCTTGACAATATATTCTCATTTATATTTATATTTTTATTTATATATTTATATCATTTTTGTCCCAGAAGATCGTCAGTGTATAATAAAATGGAGGACCACTGGAGGGTTGATGACTGCGAATGTTTAAGCATTTATGGGAACTTTGAATTCTCAAGAAATTACAAAATGCACTTCATATGCAGAAATACTAAACATACATAAAGTGAGATACGAATTATTATATCTAGGGGTTGAGACAACCCCCCCAAAGTTCCCATTTGGTTAATTCTATTAATAAAAACATGAATTTGCCTAAAGATCCACAACAGAATGTTTGTTCTCCTCTCCTCGACAATATATTTATATCATTTTCGTTTCGAAGACCGTCAGTGTACAGTAAAATGGAGGACTCAAAACGTCTTTATTTATTCAAGATCAGAATGTTTGCTTTCCTTGACAATATATTCTCATTTATATTTATATTTATATTTATATATTTATATCATTTTTGTCCCAGAAGATCGTCAGTGTATAATAAAATGGAGGACCACTAGAGGGTTGATGACTGCGAATGTTTAAGCATTTATGGGAACTTTTAATTCTCAAGAAACTACAAAATGCACTTAATATGCAAAAATACTAAACATACATAAAGTAGGATACGAATTATCATATTTAGGGGTTGACCCCAAGTTCCCATTTGGTTAATTCTATCAATAAAAATATAAATTTGCCTATAGATCCACGATCGATTTATCGTTAATACCGAAGTGCCTGCTTGTTCCATAAAAGAAAAATGGCGCGAAACGAGACGGGTTCGCGAAGCAATCAGCAGATTGATGGCGGAACGAGGGCGTTTATGGTTGGTACAGCGACGGCAAGACATAATCTGTGCCGGTACCAGCTCGTCAAAGTAAATCTCCGGTCCGGCGAACGGAGTATCCACTAATTCCTGTTCTCCGGGCAACATCCCGATTGCACCCGGGCGCTTGTCATTCTCCATAACAGCGTGCTGGCTGCAGCTGCAGGTGCACACAGCTGTGCATGAAAGGGATGTAATTAATACAGAGAACAACGTCCTGTCCGCGCGATATCGAACGTCGTGAAATTCCCTCGACGATTTTCATCGTTTTCCAACGAGTCACCTTTCTACCCCTAATCTTCCCTCGATAACGCGTTTCTTTTTCAACCGAACGATCGTGAAAAGACGATCCTTTTGCCGGTTTGACGCGTTTCGAGCGTATCGTACGATCGTCGCGCGAGTCTGTACTTAATTAACGAGATTAGATTGCTACCGTTACGTCAATGTCGAGTTTCTCTATCACAAAGTTAGCTACTCGTGAAACATTTTTTTTTTCTTTCTCTCTCTCTCTCTCTCTCTCTCTCTCTTTCGTGCAACCAATCATGGCGTTCGACGCGTACGCTAATAACTAACCATTCTGCGACGTTATTAATAAAATTATCGAGGGCGTGTGACGCTGATTTATTGATCAGCAGGAAGCATGACGGGTTGCGGTTCAAAGTGTACGCGGGTCCCACGGGTATCGGAGATAGCCATGGTTGCAGCAACATTTCGTTGATCATTACCAACCCTTCGGGCAAAATGCAATTTCCAATTTTAGTAGGGGTCTCCATCGATACGTCGATGCGAAACTTTGGCGATTAAACGGGCGGCGTACGTGTTTAATTGCGTTTCGTGAGTTAGCGGGACACGGTCCCAGAATCCTTGTCAATTTTATAATCGTAACAGTTGGCGACTTTGGGGATTCACATTTTTAGATAAATTATCGAATATGCAATTTTCGTGTTTAGAATTACTGGAAGTGGGCAAGATGACTTTCTAATCAAAATTCTACAGGAATCTACTCGACTGGATTTTTGAAAATTTATCGCAGTATTCTGGAAGAGAATGAACAAACGTTTATTTTCTTTGCATTATATATTTCTTAATCGTTTCAATTCCGTTGGTACAAATAAATACGTCATAATAATCGGTAGTTCCAGTGTTAAATACAGCACGAAGCCAGGAGAATTTTGCAATTTTAATTCGTGACAAAAAGTAAAGTGTCTGGTACATCGAACGATAGTGGTTTGTGGTGGGCTGATAAAGAAACGTTTGTTTCGCGTCTTTCAACGCGAATGAATAAATTCGTAAAATGATTTTACAGTCTATGGTAGCGATACAGTAACAGCTGTTCGTAATTAAACTATTCAAGCTCCCATAAAGTGGTTCCTCCGCTTCCCGAAAACGCTCTTGTTCTTTTCCGCGTGCTGGTTTTGCTTGTTTAGACGTCTCGTAAATCGCTTCGTAGCTTTCTATCCTGCTCGCGTTTTTCGATCATTACGATTCGAGCTAGACGCGTCTGGTTCGAATTTTGAGAACCAAATGCTTCGTCTCTAAATATTTATGTTGATCTTCACACTGTTTAACTCTAGCCACTCATTAGGCTATAGTTACGTGCTTTGATAAAGTTTTACTTGGGCAAAAATTTGATATCCTCCTTAATATTTCAAAAATTTGGATTCCTAATTGTTTTGACAAAATTTTCAGAGAATCTTAAAAAATTCTTTTGTTTCGACGATTTTATTTGATTTATAAATACACCAATGTAGTGTATATAACATCGGCAAAAATTTTTTATCTTCCTTAATATTTCAAATTTTAATTCCTGTTTCGACAAAATTTTCAGAGAATCTTAAAAAATTCTTTTGTTTCGACGATTCGATTTGATTTATAAATACACAAATGTAGTATATATAACATCGGTAAAAAATGTTATCTTCCTTAATATTTCAAATTTTAATTCCTGATTGTTTCGACAAAGTTTTCAGAGAATCTCAGAAAACTCTTTTGTTTCGACGATTTTATTTGATTTATAAATACACAAATGTATTGTATTTAACACCGACTGTGGTTGAAGGTTCGTGGATCGATTCCTCGACTTTAACGCCGATTTCGATTTGAAAAAAATCGAATTTCCAACGATTGGTCGCCAGGAATCTAAACGAGGTTCCCATTGCGATTCCCACGCACGAATTGATCGTCTCCCGACCTAATTTCTAATGCCTAATATAGTAACGACCATCGTCAATAATAGTGCAGCTCCGTGCAATCATGGCTGTATACAATATGGTGGAAGTGACGTCGCTGGAGTCAGCTATATTTGCCTTTATAGATTCCAATCGTTTCGTCGGTTACCGAATTTCGTGTATTTTTAATTGATTATGCGAACGAGTCCAACGGGTTGAGCAAGGATTATGGTTTTGTCACTCGAAGCACCAGGGTTGCACCAACTAAGCAATTTCTCCGAGTCTAAAAGTTTATTTTAAGTAAATACATTTGACTGAACTATGGAAAACAAATTTTTCGAGGAACCTAATATTTTATTTTTTTTAAAGGCAAAAATCAAATATCTTTTTCAGAAAATAAATTGAGACCATTTTATTAATAGATATAAAGAGTGTTTCTTTTGATTTATCATAGTAAATTTTTTAGTGACTAATCCTAAACCTTAGACTTAGGGTGTACCTATGGCTCCATTGAGATTGCAATAAAATAGCAATTTCGTAGGACTGATGATTTAATTTAACTTCAAAATAGTATTTGAAGACCTGATGAACAAATAAAGTGTGTGATATTCTTAGACAACCAAGAGAATCGTCTTGAGGCGATTATGTGGTTAAATTAACCGTTTCAAGCTTCATTTTCCCCCGTTTCGTTAACCCTCCCCATTGCATAATCGCTTGGGAGCTCAATAAACACAATCCCAGTAGAATACATTCGCAAAATCTACTTCGGAGACCATCTGGTAGCCTCACAAATTCCCTTTTCTTAATTCGAGTATTAATTAATTCACAGACGCCCCGAACACTCAAGAATTTCACCCTTCCAAGCCAACTCCAATTTCCCTGGATGAAATATAATTCGCGAAACAGAGGGTCCAAGCATCTTTAATCATATTAAATAGGTTTTCACCCAATTTCTGGCCCGATTGATTCAACGAACGCAGAAATGAATCGGATATGTTTACCATTCAGGACGATTGGCGGTGGCAAGTATGGCTTCGCGAGTAACTGGAAGCGCTTCTTGGTATGGGAATTAAGCTACTGGATCGTAGGGATCAGTGTCACAGCCTTGGGAAAGCACACGCGAAAGAATACACTCGGAGTTGCTCTTCAGTAGGAATATTTTTCGTTTACCCAACATTCTGCTTTTGTGGTACCCGTTTCGCGATGTCTTTCTTGTCCGGTGACCCGACAGCTTTGAGTCACACGCTTCGATGAAACCGTGATCGCCTGCCATCGATTATAAGAGTCGTTGAAATTGATATTGCCAATAAAATATCGTCTTTATGGTCACACTCGAGCTTCTCGAGGCAATATTTATTAATTCATTGCAACGACCCATCGACTACATGTTTCTTTCTCTGCTGTTTCGATGTCAACTCTGCGTCGTTCAAAGTTTGGAACCGCTATCTTTATTATTGTTTAAAAAATTAAAGGTTTTGATAAAAGTTGAATCTGTGAGAGTTGGTTTGTTTGTAATTTATTTTTCAAAGTTAAAACCTGCAGTTTTAAATTTTTTGTTTGAATTCTGCTAATGTAATTTAAATATGGCTGACCATATTTTGTACATGTGTGGATATCTTTCTAAATTATAAATTAAGTCACACAGGTCATATTGGTCTCTGATTGCAATAAAATATTTTTAAAAATTTCAATAGCGAGAAATAGTTGTAAAAATCGAATCTATATCGACTTGTGTTGTAAGATATTCATAATTTCATTTGAGAATAATTTCATTGAGTCGATATTTCAAAACCGTTTAACTTTCGTTTTAAATATTTTCGAGTAATTTGAACCATTTTCTGCCCACTTTTGGCATCGTTTTTCAGGACGGCTGGCCACCGAGGTGGTTAAAAGAGCTTACGTTCGCGGCTGAGAAACCTAAACGCAATCTCGTTAGCGAACTTTAGATTCTATTAGCGACCAACAACAAGCGTCGCGGTCGGGCGTCGAAAGTGTACGATCGAGCGTCCCGAAAAAGCTTTTCCGGTCCTCGCGTGCAGACAAAAGGCCCAACCTCGACCATTTTTCATTCGACGGGTGAATAATTTGTCACCGCTATCTTATCGTTCGCTCGATCCGTTGCGTTCTGAACGACTCTCTGTCTCTGCTGGAAAAACGAGTTTTTATCGCTGGAATGAAATTCGATTATGGTTCCACTCGTTCCAATTGATTGCACAGCAAAAGTAAAAAAGTGCCTCTTTGATTTTTTGCGGCCACTCGATATTTAATAGAACAAAGTAACCAGCTTGAAATCATTATTAAAGTGCTTTTACCGATCGTATGATACATTTAAAAATACACATTTCAAAGAATCGACGATATTCTCGCTTGGAAAATACAGGTCAATTATAAAAATAAATATAAAAAATATAAAAAAGATATAAAAATATTTCAAAAGAGCGCGAAAAAAAGCTCCGATGCAGGTTATGCGTCGAGAGTCACAGATATTAAAGTTCGTTTTTAATATTGTCAACGTTGGATCCGGTTAAAAGAAAAATATATTGCTCTTCGAAACTTACCATATCTAGAAAGAATGAAGACCGCCTTGGGCGAGTCCCCCGAAAAAAAGTAGAACTCTCAACTCCCGTGGCGCCTCGAGTATCCCGGATATTAAAGTTTCGCCATCTTTAAAAGTCGGGAACTATTTTAAACAAGAATTATTCGTGTGTTCGTCGAACTTTTCCACGCGATACTTTAGGAGAAACATTATACGAAATTTGCACTTTTGCTCGTCCATTTGTACGAAACTTAAGGGTTGTTTTAAACTCGGAATTTATTTCCCACGCGTTGAAGTCACTCGATTAAAATCGCTGTCTTGAAACAATTATTAAACGATTACGCGTTAATTGTCTTCGAATTAATTGTTCTTCCATAAAAAGTACATTGAAGTTACGTGACTTCGAACCTGAGACTATGTTGCGTGCATAACGATCTTAAAATGTGAAATTTTGTTTTTGATAATTTTAAGTGTCAAAGTTCCAGGAGAATGAGATTCGTTAATGTCTTCGTCGAAGGGTAGTTTTATCGACTTCTCGACGCTGGAAAAAAGTTCGTTGACCTCGCGGGGAACATCCCGTGCATTTCAGTATGATATATTATGGTTCTTAGTGGCACTCCGCTATCGGGAATAAGATATTACTCGGCGAGGTGGTTGTTTAACGCGAGGCCCTTGGGACAACCGCATACGGTTCTCATATCGTGGAAGATGAAAGCTTTCCACGTCGCTGTCTGTGGCTTTACAATTCCCGGGCAAGACCTGGCCTGCTCCGATATCGATTTCCACGTTTCGTTCTACCTGGCCCACGATTCTTTTTTACGACCAAACAATTGCTCATCATCGATAGACGAGATCCACGCCATTTGCTTTTTAAGTGGATTTCTTGGCGTTCTCTTCTCATGCAAATCTATGAATCACTTCCCTGACTATTCTTTCTTTACAAAATCATAATAGACTGCTTCAAAAATTAGCTCATATTCTACCAAACTTTGGCTGTTCTTGAAAATTGCGAGAACAAGTTGGAAGTTACTGAAACTTTGCTCGATTAAGGAACGAGACAAGCAAAGTATTATTGTTAATAAAAGAAAATAGCGTTTAATCCTTTCACACCTTACAAAAGTAGGAAGATTTCTAATAAAGAATCATGTTGTTTGCACAGTTCCTTTTATCCTAATTTATTTTTTTGCAGATTGGTGGACGACAGATGCGTGGTATGTCCCGAGGCGGGAGATTTGTCGAACCCACCCAAAAAGTTCAGAGGTAACGTCTTGAATTTCTTGTTGTATCTTCTGATTTAACATTTAACCGATACTCTGTCGCTTTCGAGTCGGTTCGACGAGCGTTTCGAGGCTGTTTAACGCATTTGTTTCAGATTGCCTGTTCAAGATATGCCCCATGAACCGTTACTCCGCCCAGAAGCAATTTTGGAAGGCTGCGAAACAAAGCGCGAGCGGCACGGATGCTGTACTGCTCAAAAGACTTCACGTAACCTAAATTCCCTATTTAATTTTACTTTACATTTAATTTCTCTATTGTGCAAATGACAGAAATTAATCCGACGCGTTCTCGAACCGCGGCGAGCGTTGCACGGACGGTAATTATTGGAACAATTATAATCGACACGTTGAATTTTTGCACAATAAATTAAGGTCCCCGGGCCCGATTTCAGCGACGATATCGAGTGTAATTTACTTCGACATCCGGTAATTAATTATCTGTTTTCAATACATTTATAATGTCGTGTTTGACAAGTACCCATGCTTCGAAGTCGAGATGCAAATTTAATTGAATTAATTAAATATATCGTCGTTGGAAACGGACGCAAAAACCTTTGCTCGTTACGATGTCGAAGGATGATAAACAATCATATGAGAGCGCGATAAACACAATTTATTTGGTACAAATTATTTTCAACGAGCAACTATTTGTCACTTAAGTCTTCTCTGGTAAAGGTGGTGAAGAAATCTGGAAAGTTTAACGAGGAAGACTCGAACGATGAAAGGTCGAAACTTCTAAAATATTTATATATTGATGCTTGTTTCAGACTGGTATTTTTTTTTCTTCTTTGATGTTTTATTATAGAATGTTTGAACACTCCTCTTCGGGAAGAAAATAGCATACGAACGTGTACGTATAAATTAGCATATATATTTCTTTCCGAAATTGGACTCGTGTTGCAGAATAAAAATCTATAATTCGAGGTCGGAAACGGTTAAAAATACCTCGAAGTTGCACGACACGAATACGGTTTTGGGGGAAAAATGTGTCTGGCAATCGGAATGCATGTTTATTCAATTTTTTTTTTTCATCGATGAGAATCACATGTTCACTCCTTCTCAAAAGTATTACCGTTTCCACAATTGTAAATAAATGTTTAATAATATATTAGAGAATAAAGTCACAAATATTTGTCAACAGTAATATCGATGTGAAAGAAATGCATCAAATTGTAGATCATCCTTTGAAAATCATCGAGCGAAGAGCAAAACCACATCGTTATACCTACTTCATTTGTTACCTTAAATTTCTATGGCGAAACCTGTTTACCTTACCAGCATAATTTTCCAGCACGCCGCCGAAATAGAAAAAAAGCAAAACGACACCGAGAACAAGAAACTGCTGGGCAGCGTGGTCTCCTACGGCAACGTCGTCCAGGTGAGGGGAAATTTTTGTTTTGTTTTTCTGATACCCTTTTTTTTTTTTTTATATTTTTACACCGTCCTCGTTACGCAAGGCGAATCAATTCACCTTGTGCTTCACGCCTCGGAAGATCGGCTCGGCTTTATACCTCAAGGACACTCCCTTTTATGCAGAAACCATGCTACCAGTTCCTCGAGCGACCAAGGCGTGGAAATAATTCCGTTCAGCTGATTTTCCATATTTTTGTTTTCGTTGTGACGCGTTTCACTTCCTCGTTGCGTTCGTGACTTATCGCGACAGCAATGCTGGACGTACGATACGCGATCGCCAATTAACAGAATCTACTTCCTGTTTGGTATCGTCGTTGTCAGCGTCCTGAAATTTAACAATGGATTTATCATTTATCAGAATCGTGTATTTCATAATGCTTTTTAATGTATTGTGGGCATGGCCTCTCGTTCTCGCCACCAGAGGGCTACGATCTTGTCTCTCTCGCAAGCACTCTACTGAACCTTTCGTTCTGTTGCTAGAAAGCTTTATTGACGAGCCTTTGCACGATATAACAAAAATAAAATATTAAAAATTGCACCCTCTATTCTGGTCGTTGAGTTATCACGGAAAGCATCGTTGCGGTTGAGTTTGTAAACGCGAAGTATCATCCATGGCCAGACAATGCCCCCTAATTGCGTACTGTATTAAGTATATGATCGAATTATTAATTACACCCCTTTGCCATCAACAAGGGGGGAACATCTCGTCGTCTCCTCGAAACGCGAGAGCCCCCGAACGCCATTAGACGTCTAATTAATATGATGCAATAATGCAGCCTAGGAGGGGGGGGGGAGATCTTTGTCGGGAGTATCGGGACACCTTATTACTCGCCACTTTGTCAGGGAATTATGGCAGAGTCGAAAGTTAATGCACTGTGAACCGTCGCCACGGGTTCTTCAACTACCATCAGAAGACCTCCGTCTTAATTTTTCATCCCTCCAAGAAAGAAAGAAAACAAACTTTGTTGCAGCTGTTGCATCTGAAGTCCAACAAATTCCTGACCGTCAATAAGAGACTGCCAGCGCTGCTCGAGAAGAACGCGATGAGGGTGTACCTGGACGCGAACGGGAACGAGGGCTCCTGGCTCTACATAATGCCGTTCTACAAGCTCCGTAGCGACGGGGACAGCGTCGTCGTGGGCGACAAAGTGATCCTGGAGCCGGTGAACGCCGGCAGACAGGGCCTCCACGTGGCTTCCAACTACGAGCTGAGCGACAATCCGGGCTGCAAGGAGGTGAACGTCGTGAACACGGCGACATCGTGGAAGGTGACGCTGTTTATGGAGCACAGGGAGAACCAGGAGGAGATCCTGAAAGGCGGGGACGTGGTCAGGCTGTTCCACGCGGAGCAGGAGAAATTTTTAACCATGGACGAGTACAAGAAGAAGCAACACGTGTTTCTGAGGACCACTGGTAGGACCAGCGCTACCGCTGCTACCAGCAGCAAGGCTCTGTGGGAGGTTGAGGTGAGAAGATCGACTCTGCTCTCTCGTCTGATCTCTTCAACGAAAGGATTTGAGGATCGTGTTTGCTCCGCAGGTGGTGCAGCACGATCCATGGAGGGGAGGTGCCGGTCACTGGAATTCCCTGTTCAGATTCAAGCATTTAGCGACGGGTCAATATTTAGCGGCCGAGATCGACACCGACGAACCACGTGAGCCCACAAAAGGCAAGCATGGTAAGATAGATATGTGTGTAGCTCCGCGCCAGCGTTTCAGGAATGTATATAAAAAATGCTATACTCAGATACTGTACATCTTTGTAAATTTACCATTTTTTGTATGCACGTGGTGGCTGTAGATCTGTACGTTGGCTGTACACGCCAAACGTGAATATAACAGACTCTTACTGTGCCTCGCAGATCCGCCAGGACCGGTGTACAGATTAGTATCAGTTCCACACAGTAACGAGATTAGTTCTTTGTTCGAATTGGATCCAACAACTCTGACGAGATGCGACAGTTTGGTACCTCAGTCATCCTTTGTCAGATTGCACCATATATGTACAAACACTTGGGTCCACTCGACTAGCGTGCCAATTGATAAAGATGACGAGAAACCTGTTATGTCGAAGGTATCCTTTCATCAGAGTCTCTGTACCCCATTGCGTATGCTGATCAAGAAGAATATGATTTTAAAACGCGATTCCTTTGCAAGGTGAGCTGCGCTACCAACAAAGAGGACAAAGAAGCGTTTGCTCTGAGATCCGTGTCGCCGGTCGAGGTGCGAGATCTCGATTTTGCGAACGATGCTTGCAAGGTACTGGCCGCAATAAGTGGTAAATTGGAGAAGGGTACGATCTCGCACAATGAAAGGCGAGCCGTGACCAGTTTACTGCAGGACATAGTGTACTTTATAGCCGGGTTGGAGAACGAACAAAACAAATCCGAGGCGTTAGAGTTAATTGTTACGAACGCCGTGAGGGACCGACAGAAATTATTGCGGGAACAATACATACTGGGCCAGTTGTTTAAAATACTTCAGGTATTGCCATTTCTCGTAGGCTCTGACGTTCGTAGTTTTAAGTGTGTATGTTTTCAAGAACTTTATTCGTAGGCTCCGTTCTTAGAGTCTGCGGAAGGCGAGGGACCATTTCTTAGGATAGAGGAATTGAATGATCCGAGGCATGCACCGTACAAGTACATGTTTCGTTTGTGTTATCGAATACTAAGGCTTTCTCAGCAAGACTACAGGAAAAATCAGGTTTCACTTTTTTCATGAAGTACAATTCATTTTCGATACTATCGACGAGATATCTTATGTCACTTCGTCTCGTAACGCAGGAATATATTGCCAAACATTTTGCATTTATGCAAAAACAAATTGGTTACGACATCCTAGCAGAAGATACCATTACCGCGCTATTGCACAATAATAGAAAGTTGTTAGAGAAGCATATCACAGCGGCTGAGATCGAAACGTTCGTTGGTCTTGTTAGGAAGAATATGCACAACTGGGAATCCAGATTTTTAGATTATTTATCGGACCTGTGTATCTCCAATAAGAAAGCGATCGCCGTGACTCAGGAGCTGATCTGCAAAAGCGTGCTGAGCGAAAAGAATAAAGATATATTGTTAGAAACTAGGTAAAGTAGATGCATTCTGTCGGTGATATTTTTCTTTATTGATATATGGCGATTCTTCTCAGAATGATGAAGACTCAGGTTGAAGTGGAAGAACTGGACGATAAGCAAGAAAACGGTGAACCGCGAATCACCGTTGTGGAGGAATTTGAAATTTTCCTTCTGTGGAAAAATGCAACGGTTAGCATTCTTGTATCTTTGTGTTATAATTAAAATTTATTCGAAGTTTCTAACGTGTTTGATACTGTGCACAGAAATCAATGTCTTTGAATGAATTATCGAGAGGGGCGAAAATATCCAGCAGTGTTCAGGACGTAGCAATATTAGATTATTACAGGCATCAATTAAATCTTTTTAGCAACATGTGTCTGAACAGACAGTATCTAGCGTTAAATAATTTATCCCCACATTTGGATATCGGTCTTATACTTAAGTAAGTTGTTGCATACATTTAATGGTGAAATTAATTTCGGGATTTTTATTCTACTTGCTGAAAATTTTGTAATGAAACAATTAGGTGTATGGAAGATGGAACAGTGCCATATGAATTACGTGCATCGTTTTGTCGACTTATGTTGCATCTCCACGTTGATAGAGACCCGCAGGAGCAAGTAACTCCGGTAAAATACGCTCGACTTTGGTCCGAAATTCCTTCGAAAATGAGTATCAACGAGTACGTAAATATAACACATAAAATGAATGCATATACAGGGTGTTCGGCCATCTCTGGGAAAAATTATGATGGGAGATTCTAGAGGCCGAAATAATAGAGGAAAAATTATTTTTGGTTCCGGGAGTCAATTACAATCATTTTTGGTGAAGAGACATACCCTCGAAATCCTGACCATTTTCGAGAAAAAAATTCAGAAAGTGGACAACTATGTCGTCGATATTAAAAAATTTCAAATCATTGTAAAAAAATTATTTTCTGTTGTGGGGGTCAATTACAATAAGTTTTGGTGAATAGACATATTCACGAAATCCTACGCACTTTCGAGATAAAAATTCGAGTAGGGGATAAATTTTTTGACAAAATTAAATAATTTCAAATCGTTCTAAAAAAAATATTTTTAGTTGCAACGGTCAATTGTAAGCATTTTTGGTGAATAGACATACCCCCGAAATCCTACTCAGTTTCGAGATAAAAATTCGAGTAGGGGACAAATTTTTCGACAAAATTAAAAAATTTCAAATCGTTCTGAAAAAATTATTTTTAGTTGTAGGGGTCAAATACATTCAATTTTGGTGAATAGACACACCCCCAAAATCCTACTCAGTTTCGAGATAAAAATTCGAGTAGGGGACAAATTTTTCGACAAAATTAAAAAATTTCAAATCATTGTAAAAAAATTATTTTTGGTTGCAGGGGTCAATTACAATATTTTTCGGCGAATAGACATACCCTTGAAATCCTGACCATTTTCAAGAAAAAAATTCAGAAAGAGGACAAATATTTCGTCGAAATTAAAAAATTTCAAATCATTGTAAATAAATTACTTTCGGTTGCGGGGGTCATTTACAATCATTTTTGGTGAATAGACATATCCCCGAAATCCTACTCAGTTTCGAGAAAAAAATTCGAGTAGGTGTCTAAATTTCGGCGAAAAAAAAATTTTCAAATCATTTCTGGAAAAATTATTTTTAGTTCCAGGGGTCAATTACAATAATTTTTGGTGAATAGACATACCCTCGTAATCCTGACCATTTTCGAGAAAAAAATTCTGTTAGTGGACAAATTTTCCGTCGAAATTAAAAAATTTCAAATCATTGTAAAAAAATTATTTTCTGTTGTGGGGGTTAATTACAATCATTTTTGGTGAAGAGACATACTCCCGAATTCCTACGCACTTCTGAGAAAAAAAATACTTTAGCGAAACTATAATGTCCGACCAGAACTTAATTGCCGTTCTACAGGCGAAACTTTAAACGTTAATAACTTTTTAACGAAGCCTCGATCAACAAATTAGTAGTCTTACTTTTCGTCTTATTTTGGCTTCTAGAATCTCACATTAATATTTTTTCCCAGGGTTCCTCGAACACCCTGTATATTTGGAAACAATTGTGCAATGTATTATTTGATTACAGTTATGATGCAAACAGAATGCGGGATCAAAATAAGGAAGGCGTTCGTGCTAAATTTAGCGCCACTATAATGTTCGTGGAAGATTATTTATGCAACGTTGTTGCTAAAATGTGGTCTTTCGCGGATCAAGAACAAAATAAGCTTACGTTTGAAGTAAGGAATGCAATTAATACATTTTGTTAATAAGAAAACAATGGTTGCTAAATTTTATGGAAATGTCTTTCAGGTTGTCAAATTGGCACGCGATTTAATTTACTTCGGATTCTACAGTTTCAGCGACCTTTTAAGATTAACTAAAACGTTGCTCAGTATTTTGGACTGTATTTCTGATAACGACGTCGCCGAAAGGAAAATTCCAACCGGTGATATCGATTGTAAGTAGATGGCTGTTTCTTCTCTGTTCAACACACACTGACAACTAATATCATGTGAATTATATAAAAAATGCAATATTCCTTGTACATATTGGTAACTCCCAATTATCGTACCTTTTCTATGCATGATAGAATACAATTTGTTTTCCCCGCTGCTAACAATGACACTATTTTTCAATGTACATAAAGTAATGTGCTTAAAATCTTCCCGAGTATTGTATATAATTAATTTCATACCACATGTGAAGAAACAAATGTACATAATAGACACTCACATGTATTAATGTACCCCTAAGTGTGACTAACTGATTTATCTTGAAAAATTCTAAAGCTGATTCAGTGGATTCTGAGGAGACAGGTAATTTACGATTATAAATTAATGACAATGGAAGTTCATTTACGTAATATAAGTCTGTTAAAGTTATAATTTAAGTACTGTGCCCTGTAGTCAGTATAGCACTTTCCTTAAACTTTTGTATTCTTTATCCCTCGTATGTTTTATGTGTATCGATATAAATACTCTATTAAGCATATAGAATCTATGTACATATATAGTCATATATGACATATATAGACATATATAGTCTGAAATTTATTTTTATATTGCTAGTAAAAAGATTGTATTATTTAATGAAATTATGTACAACTCTTCATGTTTGATGTATTAAATACCTGGTTAAAATTATTCATAATTCTCTGACCAGCCGAAGGTGGAGTGCTGAGATGTATAGGAGACATGGGAGCCGTCATGACAAGTTTAACATTGGGTTCAGCTGGCCAAGTATTGGCCGGAAGTACATCACCAAGACCCAAACCACTCTCGCAGAAAGAATATCCCTTGGTGATGGACACAAAACTGAAAATAATTGAGATTTTACAATTCATACTCGACGTCCGACTGGACTATAGGATCTCCTGTTTGTTAAGTATTTTTAAACAAGAGTTCGACGAAACTGAACGAGCTTCCGGTGACTTGAGTCTTGGTCAGAAAACCATCGACTTAGAATTGATAGGTACCCAAGCAGAGGGCATATTTGGAAGCAGGTAATTTTTGCCTATATTTGCCATTTCCGTTTTAACATTGGAATGTTTCATAAATTATGCATTTTAGCGAGGAATGTGTAGCATTGGATCTGGATGGCCAAGGCGGCAAGACGTTTCTGCGCGTGTTGCTCCATTTGGCAATGCACGACTATCCTCCGCTAGTTTCCGGGGCGTTGCATTTGCTTTTTAGACATTTTAGTCAAAGACAAGAAGTCTTACAAGCGTTTAAACAAGTATGTAATTTTATATTTGATAATATCACAACAGTAACGAACAGAAGAATTAATTAAATTTCTGTGAATAGGTCCAACTCTTAGTATCTGATAGCGACGTGGAGTCTTACAAACAAATAAAATCTGATTTGGACGTTTTGCGACAATCGGTTGAAAAATCTGAGCTCTGGGTGTACAAGTCTAGAGCTTCTGAAGAACATGGTAGTGGTAAAAAGAAGAAAAGTAAAGAAGACGAGGATGAGAACGCTACTCCTCGTAAAGCACCACCTCAATTGTCCACATCGGATAAGAAAGGTATTAATAATAATTTTAGATAAAGATGAATTTTGAAATAGCAGATTTAAACAAATTCGACGTTGTCACGAAGAAGATAATATTTGCAATTATAGGTTCTGCGATAGATTTAGATATCGGTCCACCGTTACACTCTGACCAGGCGGAGGAATATAAAAAAATACAGCAGATTCTAATTCGTATGAACAAACTGTGTATCCAAACGATAGGTGGTCAGATAAAACCGCGAAAGCACGAACAGAGGCTTTTACGCAATGTCGGTGTGCATACTGTTGTCTTGGACTTGTTGCAAGTTCCGTTTGACGCCAAGGAAGATGTGAGAATGAACGAGTTGATGAGATTAGCTCACGACTTCCTGCAAAATTTCTGCTTAGGCAATCAACAAAATCAGGTTCTGTTGCACAAGCAATTGGATTTGTTTTTGAATCCCGGTATACGCGAGGCTCAAACAGTATGTAGTATATTTCAAGATAATTCGACGTTGTGCAATGAAGTGAGCGCCAAGGTCATACAGCATTTCGTTCACTGCATAGAGACTCATGGGAAGCATGTGCAATATTTAAAGTTTCTTCAAACGGTAGTGAAGGCTGAGAATCAGTTCATTAGAAAATGTCAGGAAATGGTGATGCAAGAGGTGAGCGTGTGTAAACAGTCGGTGACTTTATACAGATGTTTAAACGATTAAATTAATTATTGTTTATATAGATGGTTCAGTCTGGCGAGGATGTTCTAGTTTTCTATAACGATAGAGCTTCTTTTAATCATTTTGTGGAAATGATGAGATCTGAGAGACATAGAATGGATGAAAGCAGTCCGCTCAAGTGTGTATCTTTTGAAGACACCAAATAAAGTAACCAAATAGATTATATCATATATTTCATTTAAATGCGTATTTCAGGTACCATGTAGAATTAGTTAAATTATTGGCGTGCTGCACAATGGGTAAAAACGTTAATACAGAAATTAAATGCCATAGCCTTCTGCCATTAGACGATATTGTTGTTATGGTGTCACATCCAGATGCTATACCGGATGTAAGTTGATCGATGATCTTCAAATTAACTCCTGAGAGATAACTATGTATATGTTTGCAGGTCAAAGAGGCGTATATAAATTTTCTGAATCATTGTTATATTGATACGGAAGTAGAAATGAAAGAGATTTATACGTCGAACCATATGTGGTCGTTGTTTGAAAAATCTTTCATCGTAGACATGAGCATAATAGCAACTGCCACGCACGATCGCGAACACGCCGATACCGCTCTAGAAAATTATGTGACGGGCTGCCTAATGAACATCATTACAACGTTCTTTAGCAGTCCATTTTCAGATCAAAGTACTACAGTACAGGTATCGTATTTGTCCATTACGCTAGTTCAAGAAAAATTTATAGTTTTCATTATTTTTTTTTTTTTTAAATACCGTATCTCTGGATACATATAGTTTTATCAAATTTACGGTGTTATTGGTACAAGCCTATTACAGAAATTTGTCGACTAACGTCAATATTTATGTGGTGGATATGGCACCTTAATTGTTTCGAGTATGTGAGCACTCCAATTTACAGACATAAATGTCTCTTTGAAGCAGAAAAACGATTATCCGTTATTAAATGTGTTTTTTGTCATCTTAATCAAAGCACAAATTAATCATATTTTCACATAATGTTAAGTTTTATTACTTATGAAGAATATTTATTTTCAATCATATCGATTTGTTTAAATTGGAGACTGTGTATATTATAGTATTTTACGACATTCAACTTCATTGATTGTATTTTTATTGTTGCACTGAGATAAACTATATATACACTAAATTGTTAAAAAAAAGAAGATCGAATTTTATTAATGTTTATAATAGTAGTTGTTACATTTCAATAGCGAAGGTGCTTTTATCCCGTTAAAATGGTAGCTATAATAGTAATCTTTAAATCAAATATTTATTGTGTTTCATTACTTAACTGAAGTTCATCGAAATGGAGGTAATTAGTAGAAAACAATACGAACCCATTACATTAGTTCCAGTTAATGTAATGGCTTGAAATCTGTATTGATGTAAAAGAAAAGGGCTTAGGTAAAGGTATACAGACTTGTACTATCGTAGATCAGGAATATAATGGTATCGTGTAAAAATACATGCAGAAAAATAATTTAAATTTCGAATATATATATAGCATAAGTGTAATGAAATAAGTTGGTATATAATAGATATAAGTAACATAATTGACAAACACATGATCATGTACAAAATCTGTGCGAATATCCTGTCATTTATTTATCTGATAATTTCTTGCTTTGCATGAGAAACACATTAATTTAAGTTCTCTTAGAAACCAAGTACATATCACATAGAGATATTAGTATTTGTTTGGATACAACAACCCGTTTTATTTATTTTATTTTTTCCCGGTACAGTCTTTATGTTTGTTTTTAATTTATTTATTCGCCTATTGCGGGTATGGTAGGCCAGAATATACTATAAATTTATCACCATAATGGCGATATAATTTTTGATGTGTGCTTGGTAATTGGTGATTGCATCAGCGGCATGTTCTGTGTTTTTGGCATGCAACACCTGGCCTTCTTTGACTCATCAACATTGGTTTACTGGGTCTGGGTGCTGGGTCTATATGGTGGTGGGTTGATTTACTAATAGAAACATCTGCACGAGGCTAGACTATATTGGAGCATCAAGGAGAGTGACCGGAATACTGATAATAATCTTACTGACTATGTGAGTACCGAGTTAAAAAACGCTCAATCAATTCTGAGCACTTGTAAATACACAGCAATACTAACACGGTATACGGGGACGTGATATTAGTGAATGATATTAGCTCTGAAATTTACAATAAAAGAGTAACTCTTTAAACGATGTTTTTTTTTTCTCATTGTACATACATAATATATGTACTATATAAACCTCAATTGTTTCTTGTATGTACATATGTATATGTTTAATTAAATAACATGAATATATAGAGCGCAAACAGCATGAATCGAAGAACAGGTAGAATTGCAAACACAAGCGCGCATCTTTAATGTTAAAATGATTTCGAATACCGTTCTCTACATTACATATTTTTTGAATAAATGATCGTACATGTATTCTAGAAACTTATACTAACACATTCACTGTCTTCAATTAATGAAGCAAGCTTGCTATTTGAACTCTCTCGAGTACTAACCATACGTTCTTTATTATTTGGAATATTTTTCTGTATCATCTATATGCTGTTTAAAATATTTCTATTCTTTTGCAATTATGTAGCATGGATCAGTGGTTAAATATTTATAGAAATATTTCTTTATTGGAATTGCTTGGCAATGAGTGTGTTATATTGAATGCAAAAAAATGACAAAGATAATAAGAAATTTTCAATACGTTGAAATGAATAGATATTTTCTATACAAACGGAATTGTAGTGGAAAATGCTTTGCGTTTAAAGGCTTGATTTAGATAAGGGTTTTTTAAAACGAGGAATAAGTAGCAATTAATCCAAGCTATAATGGTGTAATAATGTATTTACTATATCCTTAACTTTAGCTATTTGATTAAATCGTTTGACAATATTAAGAGATATTTGGGTCTTTTTTATAACAGACACGACAACCTATATTCGTTCAGTTGCTCCATGCGGCTTTTAAAGTTTCACAATGTTCATGGTTAAATGCTGGCCAAAGGTTTAATGTGGAAAATTGTATACGGACGTTGTCAGATGTAGGTAAGCGACTGTTATTGTTAACATTGTGGTAATGAAAATGTTATTATTGGAATCGTTACTTCTGTATATATCTATTTTATAATAAAATACTCTTTGTTTAAAACATTAGCCAAAGGTAGAGGTATAGCCATTCCAACTGATTTGGAAAGTCAAGTTGCTTCTATGTTCAATAAAGCAGCAATGCTCAGTAGACAAACGAGTAAATGGCTCCAAGCTGCAAAACAACCGAAAATAGAACGCACACAAAGCCAGGTAATGGTAAACACTCTTTACAAATTATTCATGAATTCATCTAGTTTAGTTTACAATGTTAAATGTATCAATTTGTAATTGACGAAATCTTCAATCATCTAGAGTGACTTAATTAATGAGGAGGATAGTAAAGATGAGGTAAAAGTCACTCATAAGAATCTGACACTTTAACAGCTTGACAGCTTCACAACTTTACCGCTATATAGCTAATATTAATCCATAGGTGTAGTATATGATTACTGAAGAACATATGTAATTTGTATGTACAATAGAGTAACACTGACATGTGTGATGTATTGTGAACATATTAGATTAGCTGATTGAATGTATTGCATTGAATGGTTATTATAGAAAATGATATGTTAACAGTCTCTGACTATGGGATTGAGAATCGTCATCATGTACGACTACTATACAGTTATATATTTTTATTTAGCTGATGCGCCTGGATCGAAGTATCATAGAAGGATTGCAGGACATAGTATCGTTGCTGGAAGAACAATTGAAACCTCTAGTTCAATCAGAATTATCTTTATTAGTGGATATTCTCTATCGACCGGAATTACTGTTCCCAGCAGCAACTGACGCGAGGAAAAGTTGTGAAAATGGCGGATTCATTAGAAGGTGACTATTTTTTGTAGTTTCAGTTAGTTTATTTGATTATAATTAAACAATTTTTCGTTAGATTAATTAAACATACCGAGAAATTACTTGAAGAAAAGGAGGAGAAATTATGTGTCAAGGTGCTAGGGACCCTCAGAGAAATGATGGCCATTGATCCTGAATACGGGGAAAAAGTGAGTTTCATAGAATAGTGTTTTGCATGAAGTTATAAGAATCATTTACCATACAAAGAAGGAACACTACTTTGCGGAAAAGGGCATTCAGTTGTTTCTGGAGAAATGTTATTCACATTAATTAACGGTAACCAATCCTTTTGGCATGCTTGGCAATTGTTGGTGATTGGATCATTGGAATGTGTATTCTATGTATACTGTTCTCAAAGGGTACAACGGTACAGTTTCTTATTGCGAGCTAAGACACATTTTAGCAGAGGGAGTAACGTTTAAAAAAAGTATAATTATGTCATGTCTTCAATTTTCCAATATTAATGCTATACAGAATGATTCTACACAAGCTGTAGCTCGTCTAGGTTCTCAAAATCATTAATGCTATGAGAGTAAGGAGCTTGAGGAAGCTAGTTTCGACAGCATGCCTTTGTTAATCTGGATTCGCTACCGTTAAATGGCACCGCACCTCGTACTATTGATTGAATATGTTACCGTTCCAAAGTTCTAGTTAAATTAACGAGAATTTGTGTTTCCGTATCCACTTTGTACTTTACGTGTTCGCTGAAAAGCTAAATGCCCATATGTTCACGGCACTTTAGATGACCAGTACGCAATTAACAGTTTCTTTAGTTGGCGATATAGATAATGCAAATGAGATAAAACATAATGAGCTTTATGTATACACCATAAAGACTTAAGTAACAGTGGGTGAGTAGGTTTCGTAGAATAGATATGTAGGTAAAGATGTTTTCATGCTGCGAACGAAGATCGAAGGTGTCTCGGAAGAAGAAGAAACAGAACGGAAGATCGAGTCACAAGTTGGAGCCGGGTCTGTTGATGAGTCTGAGACTCGTCACGTGACTCAGCAAGAGCGGGTAAAAATTAAAGTAGATAACAACGGTAATTTGTTGGGCACAACGTATATAAATTGGCAATATGAATTTGATTTGTATTTCTGAGAATATGTCTCACCGTCACTCTGTCGTTATTTATTATGTAACTTTCGATATTGAATATCTTTATCACACGAGTATACACCAGCATAGGATATCCAAATGACAAATGAAAATGTATTTCAACATTGATATGTAAATACACTCATTTTAGCAATTTCTACAAAATTTTACATTGTCACATCACCTAACATGAATTTTGCTTAAGTACAAAACATAATGTACGTTGTGTAGGCTCTTTATGCATGTGCTTGTTTAATTTTATTAGATTCACGTAAGTTCATGCTCTGCTTTCATCCTCTCTTCTCTTATTACATTTTTTTTTTTTTAGTAAACATAACATAAACATAGACGTTTGATCTCATATTTTAAATTCTGATTTACGATATGAGTACTCCTTGAAACAGTATCAATTTATATTAAATGAAATAAATATTTAAACAAATTCAAGAATATCGATTTATCGTGAATCAAAATTTATGAAGGATTTTAAAAAATTATTTTATATAGTGTAAAATGTCTTTCCATGTATATTGCAGTATGGGCATTGAGTTTAGAAACAGAAATAATAAGTTTACTGTATTTAAACGTGTATATACACTTCTTTACAGATAGGGTGTACCAATACGTCTGTAGACACCTCACTTTTAGCATTTGTAATGTATGCTACATACATTTTTAGCAACATGAGAGCAGCAATGTAGAATTTATAGATAATATTGTATTTTAAATAATATCCGCATTTTTCTGTAAGCAATATTTGTGCTAGAAATTGTAAAACGTTGTGTGCATAATACACGTGGTATAAATGTTACATGCAAAGTGTTTTATCAACTTTGCTGCTCCCACCTATTTGATACCATTTTTGAATGATTCTTTAAATTTATGTGTGATATCTATTTAACTTGTTGTATTTTTCTTTAAAATCTCCAAACACCTAAATCGCATAAATTTTTATCATTATGTATTTTCCAGAATATTCAATGATATATACGATTCGATTATGATTGCTCTACCATATTAGCGATTCTTGTGCATTTTACTGATACGTAAAATTGGTTAGGATACTCAACAACGTATTATAAATTGCACAAATATTTTTCAAACTTTTCAGTGCACAAATAATGTACATACACAATTTAATTATTTTTATTGGTAGATTAATAATTAGATTGACATTTCTATAATACATTATAATTGTCGCACTGGAATTCCCTACGAGAGTTATTCGATCTTTATGAATTGTGCACGATGTATTGGTACATCATGATTTATTTAAACTTATTGCCATTGTAATAATGTGTACTCGGGTCTCCTTTTCCCCAGGGTGACGCATTGAGGAACAATCTTTTGGCTCGCTATTTTGGAAAGTCTTTTCTACAGAAGCCAGAAAACGTAGATATCGGAGTTTCACATACTGCACCAATCACACATGGGCCAGGGGGTATAAACAAATTCGATAACCTCTTCCATAATGTTAGCATATACAACGTTATTAAGGGCCTATTCAATTCCTTGTAGCGAAACTTTTAAGTCGAGCAGGGCGTACATTGCATGAAGTTCAGAGTCATCTTGATCGTGAAGGCGCATCAGATTTGGTAGTGGAGCTAGTAATTAAAAGCGTACACTCTCCAAGTATATTCGTAGAGGTCATTGAACTTGGCATTGCATTGTTGGAAGGAGGGAATCCTATTATACAAAAGAGCGTGTACAATAAACTAATGGGTGATGACTTGAGTCAGTCATTCTTCAAGGTACCTTTCTCAACATTATGCTATTGCATCTCTTGCTCACTGAAGTGATTCCTCAAGTAACAATTAAAATTGCAATTCTTAGGTCTTTTATGATAAGATGAAAGATGCCCAACAGGAAATTAAATCCACAGTAACAGTAAACACTTCCGACATAGCAGCAAAAGCTAACGAGGATAAGGAGCAGAACAAGGAAATAGAAAAGATATCAAAGAAACGCACATCCGGTATTATAAGATGATATTCTGATAGTGGAGCCTCCAATCTCGATTTTCTTTAACATTTTCTCAATCGTAGGGAAACCTAACGGGATTGTAATAACGGATGAGTTACGAGAGGAACTGAATCAGGCTGCTTCGTCCACCGTACAAGCGTACGCGAATGTGCGTAATCTCGCTTCCGGTGAGGATGCAACAAACAACGCAGCGCTTGGTAGCGCGTTAGAAGACATGATAGCTGAGAAATTGGAGAGGCATCGTACTGGAACAAGTGGCGCAGAAAGGGACGAAGGGCAATTGAGCGTGAAAGTTTTAGTGATGCAACCGATTTTACGGTTTTTGCAATTATTATGTGAAAATCATAATCGCGATTTGCAGGTGATTCTTTTGTAAAGAATGGTGAATAATTATTTTACACCAAGTAATAACTTGAATATCTTTTGCTTTTGTAGAACTTCCTCCGCAATCAAAACAACAAGACTAATTTCAATTTAGTGTCAGAAACCCTCATGTTTTTGGACTGCATTTGTGGCTCAACAACTGGTGGATTAGGATTGCTGGGGTTGTACATCAATGAACATAATGTTGCATTGATTAATCAGACCTTGGAGACGTTGACGGAGTATTGCCAGGGACCATGTCACGATAATCAAAATTGCATTGCTATTCACGAGTCCAATGGATTAGATATAATAACTGCCTTGATTCTGAACGATATTAATCCTTTGGGGAAGACCAGGATGGACTTAGTGTTAGAATTGAAGAATAACGCTAGCAAATTGTTATTAGCTATAATGGAGAGCAGAGGTGATAGCGAGAACGCAGAGAGGATTCTGTACAACATGAATCCGAAACAGTTGGTCGACGTCGCGTGTCGCGCGTTCCATCAAGAATCTTTGGACGACGACGGCGACGTCGATGATTCGTCTACGGATGGCGAAGAAGGAGTGTCGCCCAAAGAAGTAATTATGATCGAAGGGTTGCAAATTTAACCATCCTGGTACTAATGAAATTGATTTTCAGGTCGGACATAATATTTATATCCTGTGCCATCAATTAGCGCAACACAACAAAGAGTTGGCGTCCATGTTGAAACCTTCCGAGCAGAACAATGCCGATCCAAAGATAAACAAGGCATTGCAATATTATGCAACTCATACGGCTCAAATAGAAGTAAATTACATTTGTATCCCATATGACACGCATGTCGCGATGAATATATCAAACGACTCTGTTTCAGATTGTTAGGCACGACAGAACGTTGGAGCAAATTGTATTTCCAATTCCAGAAATTTGTGAACTCATCACTGTAGACACTAAAATCAAAGTGTTGCATACCACGGACCGTGATGATCAAGGATCTAAAGTATCTGACTTCTTTGAAAGAACCGAGGACATGTTCAATGAAATGAAATGGCAGAAAAAACTTAGAGGTATTTAAAAATTTCTGCTTGTGGTATTTAATCTGTTTTAATTTATAGGACGTTTTATTAAATATGTCTCTTTGCCTTAGGTCAACCAGTATTATTTTGGATGAGCAGTTACATGTCATTATGGAGTAATATTTTATTCAACTGTGCAGTACTCATAAACCTTATTGTAGCTTTCTTTTATCCATTTGTCGATTCTGTGCCTAGTGAGTATTTATATCTCATAGGAAGTTATCGAATGTATTGAATATTTATTTTTCCCCGATTTTAGAATTAAGTTCACACTTGTCGGGTCTCATTTGGACGGTGATGCTTTCGTCCTCGGTTATTATCATCACGTTACCACGGGAATCTGGTATACGTACGTTGGTAGCTTCAACAATATTACGACTGATTTTTTCCATAGGACCGGAACCAACATTATGGTTACTCGGTTTTGTTACGGTAAATTCAAGTGGAAATATATCGTATATATATCCAAGTCATACGTGTGTATCTAATGTGTGTATTTTTCAGGTTGTATTAAAAGTTGTACATCTTATAAGCATTATAGGTAATCAGGGCACTTTGACGAAGAGCTTAGAGCAAATAGTGACGAATGTTGAAATTTTGTACCATATGTCGTATCTTATGTTTTGTGTTCTTGGGATTTGTATGCATCCATTTTTCTACTCAGTTTTAGTAAGTATTTAAACATTAGTCTAAGCAGTGTGTAATTAGAACGAAACATTAAACTTCTTTCTTTTTTTAGCTGTTTGACGTAGTATATCGCGAAGAAACGTTGCTCAATGTAATAAGATCTGTTACAAGAAACGGGAGATCAATTATACTCACTGCTGTACTGGCATTAATTCTAGTTTACATGTTCTCCATTATTGGGTTCATGTTTTTCAAAGATGATTTCTTAGTGACCGTCGATGAGGACGTTATGTGTAAGTTCTTGTGTCATGCTTCATAACAGCTATTTTAATGGTACAAAAAAAACATTTTATCTTTATATCAATTGTAGCATCATACACGGAAGGAAACACAGGCACATGCAATATCGCTGAGAACGAGAAATGCGACGCAACGGAAACAGTGTCTCGATACAGTCGCGAAGGTATTTCGAATTTTCAATATTAAATTTTGAATTTTAGGCGAGCATAATTGGATACTAATAAAAATTTCATGATTACACAGCTAATGACAAAGATAGTCAATCGGAACTAATTAATATAGGAGGGGACATGAAGGAACGGGCATGTGATTCCTTAGTTATGTGTATTGTTACCACGTTGAATCAAGGTTTAAGAAATGGTGGTGGTATAGGAGACATTTTACGAGCACCGTCCAGTACAGTGAGTACAAAAATACTAAAACACGATTATGTATTGCCTTTAAAACCTTGTTAATTTCATTTTAGGAGCCGTTGTTTGTTGCTAGAGTTGTATACGATTTACTGTTCTTCTTCATCGTAATAATTATTGTTTTGAATCTCATTTTCGGTGTTATCATTGACACGTTCGCCGATCTCAGATCAGAGAAGCAACAAAAGGAATTGATTTTAAAGAACACTTGCTTCATATGCGGTAAGTGTATTAATTTGTCTCGCTATATGAAGCTCTTTGCATTGTTGTCGTTATTTATATTTGTTTCGTAGGTTTGAATAGATCGTCGTTCGATAATAAAACGGTCTCTTTCGAAGAGCACATAAAGCACGAGCATAATATGTGGCATTACTTGTATTTCATCGTTCTGGTAAAAGTGAAAGATCCAACAGAATTCACGGGGCCCGAGTCGTACGTCTACGCCATGGTCAAGGTAATAGTCCATAGAGCTTTGAAACATTGAGCCGTGCTTTAACTTTTAAGTTCTGTGTACTTTTTACAGGATCGTAATCTCGACTGGTTCCCGCGATTGAGAGCCAAATCGTTGGCGGCGGACGAGGGCGAGGGGGAACAAGTAGAGTTAAGAAGTTTACAGTCTCAGTTAGAGTCTACGCAAGATTTAGTGAAGTGTTTGTCGCAGCAACTTTCCGAGCTTCGCGATCAGGTAACTCGTTTATCGTCCTACGAATTGATAAGATTTTGCAACGATGTCCATTAACATTCGAATGCTTTAATTGCTTGCCAGATGACGGAGCAACGAAAACAGAAACAGCGGATAGGCCTCTTGAATTCTCTCGAATGCTCTTGAATTGTCTTTTAAAAGTTTTTATGAATCTCAATTTGATACTCCCCGAGTTGATATTTGATGCGTAAGTTTTGTGTTCTTAATAAGCATTTAAAGACACAGAATGTACTATGGAGAGTAACACGAAGCATTTGTACGGTTTTGTTCCTAATTTTAACGAAAGTGATTTACGTAAGTAATAGTATCATTCAAATCTAATAAGGACAATATTTTAGTTTTATTCCGCTTAAAAAGATAAGCTCGTAGGGTCGCGCGAAGTTGCATCGGTTGAACGAATTTATCGTGAAATATATACGTGTTATTTAGATGAGATAATTTACGATAATTGTTGGGGATACGTGTTACTTAAAATTTAACGACCGCGGAGAATTTGATCATTTAAAGGTTACTCGAATAACTAGCCAAAAGCATGCATGGAAGCGTGACTTTCTAAATCGACATATCTAAAATTCGTATTGAGATTTTAACGTTTCTGCAACCTGTTTAACAGGTCTCTGAGAATGTTGATGTTTTTATCCATAAGATGGATATGTAAAAATAAATGTTTAATATCTTATTTTGTATTTTAGTAAATTTGTTTCATGGTTGTGTTCGTAGATTTTTAAGTTTGTAACATAGAGATACTTTTTAAGGGACATACCTTTCTCATTCATCGTATGCTTAGTTTCTTTTGTTCTTCGAAGAGTATAACACGGAGACCATGAAATAATTTATCGTTACGTCTGTAGCGAATGTCAAATTACGCACAGGTTTTCAAATCGCGCGCGTAAGAAGTAAGAATTTCGTTGTGAATTTAACCTGGAATTGAACATCGAAAATGTCTCCGTTACGACAATGACAAAATTCTTTCTAATGTTAAGATTTTAATAATACGCGATTGAGACGAAATTTGTGAAATGAAAATTGTTTTACGAATTTATCGAAGACACGAGTATCGCCAGATTATTTCATACTTTTGACAAGCAATAGACAGGAAAGAAAGGAACAACCGATATTGAATGTTAAACGGTTCCACAAAATGTCTGCTTTTTCCTGTTGGAAAATTCAGGCCTGACATCTCAGGTGCCAATAAGTTAATGAATTGTTGGTATGACTGAGGGGAACACGAATGCACGATCAAATCGATAGCTCGTTTTACGATCGTGTAACAGATTCTTATGTCATTGTTCCGTAGATATTTATAGCGAATTTAATATCGATAACTATCATTGTTTAGTTCTAAATCCATAGATAGTAAATTAAGATAATCGTTGTATCTAAAGTACGTTGAATGGAAAAAATGCTAAGATCGTTATTTACGCACCGTGTGCAAGGTTAGGTTGTCCGTTGATTTCAATTTACTTTCCACTAATACGTTCACTTAGGCGATATCCGAAACCTCATGTCTATAAACATTTATATATATATATATATATGTATGTATACGGTATATATTATATGTTGATAATTCTTTTTTTTTTAAACTAGAGAAATTAGCTGTAATGTACATACATTTCGTTGGATGTTTTCCAGTTCTCGTTACTCGTTCGCGTTAAGAGAGTACAATTACACAAACCGGAAATGTTGTTTCTTCTTGTGCCAACTTTATAAAATTTTAGCGTGATGTTATTATAAGGTCTTCACTATATGCATCTGAATATAAATTTCAGGCGTGTTACACGTAGATGTAAATGTTTCATATTCCGATTTTAGGATGTATAGATAGTTCTGTAGATTGTATTAAAAACTTGTATGTGAATAAATTGTCCTTTTTTTTTTATTAAAACGGTTCCTCGGTTTCACTAGGGCTATTTAGGCTTCACCTGAAAGAAAATAAATATTAAAAAGAACGGCGTGATGGTTTTCGTTTTTATTTTATTTATACTTTATACGAAACAATTGACTATTTATTGTGACTTAGATATACGCGGCTAGTACATACATGTAACATGTATTTCTTTTTCATAGTTAGACATGTCTTGTGCAAAACCGGTACATTCGTTTAAGGAACAAATTGTATTATAATCGTTGTGAATATGTTTTATCGAGCAATGCCAAAAACAAACAGTCGTATAGTTTAACATTCTTTCTGAAACGGACAATAGAATCTCTTGTCGAGAAACAGTTCACCGATTTTTGAAACACAAGCCGCTGAAATCACATGCCCCCGGGCTTGGATCACGGTAATTACAATCGTTAAAAGGTGTGCGTCTTTATAATCGTTTTTTTTCGTTTCTTTTAACAGCGTGTCACCTCTTTTTTTCGTACGGTGCAATTAATTACATCGTGACTTTCATCTCTGTTTCGACGAGGTTTGCGGAAATGTTGCTCGCGGATATTCTCGATCGAGCTGCTCCATTATTATACAAATCTTAATAGTTTTATTTACTCCCAAACGCAGTCAGACTTCGATTATTTTTTTTTTTTTCGTATTAATCGTTCGATCATTACCAGCCTTCTTACGAGGTATAAATCACACTTCGGGAAAAGTCAGTCTTTCTATTCGCTAGTATAAATTAGTATCTAAGAATTAGTACAAATTAAACGTCGGTATCGTCGAATCATTATCGTCGATTTCTACGAATTAAAAATGTCGCAAGTTCGTTTCTCCGTTTATTAAATGAAATCTTACAAGCGAAAATCCGATATCTTCGATGGAATGGAGCAAAACATTGTCGCGGGTAGTGATGAAGGTTCGTAATGATTTTCGACTGATTTTCGGAATGCAATTCCACGTAATAGAATAATAATAATTTCGCATTACGCGTAATGATGTTCGACGTGTTATCCCCGAGTTACTGGAGATTGTAATAAACGGATTGCTCTTAACAGGCGTTAAAGTCTCTTTCAAAGTGCGTTACTTTGCAGCAAAATGATACGAGAATTGAATCCATAGTAATGCCTGCGTCTGCATACTTTTAATTTAATTAACGGTGTTTTAACGAACTGAGTAAGAAAACGAGCTTCTTTTTCCATGAAAAAGGTCTGAAGCAAGTACCTCCTCGTCTCATGTACTTTCTTATACAAGAAATTATTTCTTTATACATCTATTGATTACTTAGCGCACGAGTTGAACAATTTAACACTTTGACGGCCGCTGTCACGTATACGTGATCTACTGTATCAGTCACCATTTTATCATACATTTGACTTATCACGTTTGTTGAGGTTACATTTATAATTCCTTATAATAATATACCTAGCATCTTCGTGTATCTCACTTTGGTCTACAATATCAGTGGTGACGGACAACGGGCATTAAAGTGTTAACTTTGTCACGTTACTTAACATTTACGCTGGTTTAAACCAAAGTTACGGAGACGCAGGCGTGTTAGCCCTTCGTTCGATTTTCGTATATCAAATATCGTACAATCTGAAAGGAACGCGCGAAACAATCGGTGCAAATTCACCGTACTCTGACCGTACTCTGACCGTACAATGCAACATCTTCTATCATTCTGTATAAAGGATCGCGGGGAATGCGACATGCGTTATAAAATTATAGAAACCGATGGAAACATTTGCGTTAATGGATGGCTCTTCGCGCTCCTCGTTAATTCAACCCTGGAACACTATAACGGGGCACTGCATCCCCCTCCACTCGGTTTGTCGTCACGGATTCGTTTGCAATTCGCGTACAGCGTGCTCGTGCCCTGATTGTCAATAGACTGTAAAGTAGAAAATTGTTTATGTTGCCCCGGTGGTCAGTCGACAATAATTTCTTGCTAATAAAATGATTATTTCCGCATGGTCGGGGTGCACAGTTACCCCGGTACGGCGTGTTGGAACGGGATTACGTGTAGGCGTAGCATTGCAGGGTTCGAACGTTCCTCGTCTCGATACACACGTAAAACATTCACCGTTCCTAGAGCTTTTACAGTTTTGGCTTAGCCTAACGATCAAACGCGTCCCCGGGAAGTCGATTGGAGCGTTCTTCTTTCTTGCGTTCGACGATCCAGCGCAAACATCCCCGTCCTCCGCCGAAGAAGAGCCCCTTCCAAACGAACTTCCGGCAGTCAGCGGGTAACAATTAATCGAGATACGCCTCGGGCGACTCGAAGCTCGTTCGTTAAAATACAATCTGTCTCCGGCGTCCTCGGTACCGCGCCTCGTTACAATGAATTACCGCAGAATTTACAATGAATCCCGTCGACTTAACGTAGTTCGTGATACTCTGTACAAATCCTACCGCGTATGTACAACAACTTTCTATCATATAACTTCTTACACGTTTACTTTGGCATTCGCGTGAGAGAGGGTGACGGGCGTGATTCTCGGGCTACTTCAAATCCGTGCATCGCGTTTTCCTTTCTTTTTTTCGTTTTCATTGGGTTTTTCTTGTTTTTTTTTTTTTAATTCGACTCGCTATTATGTATATTTATACGCACGCACGGGGGACGCGGCGTTTAAGCAGAAACGCATAGAACGCATGGAACGCATCTTGCTTCTCCATTTTACTTTTTGGGGAAACGAAAGTGTAATATCATTTGGTTGACACGAAGGATTTGTTCAGACATTTTATGCTTAGTAAATTAATTCATTAACTCCTTTTTTTAGGTTTGTTTTGAAGCATATGAATTTAAAATCATCTTGTGCTTTCCAAGATGGCGGACGGTGTCCGTGCGTTTCTACGTAGACGTTCCACCCTGTGTACAGATTTTATGTATACGCATATGTATGTATAATATGTACATGCTCTATCAGACTCTTAGGCTAAAACGAGTGGTATACACCGAGTGATTCGTAGCATATATATCTCTTCTCATTTATCTTTAATTTATATTATTTATATATTTATATATGTAGGTCGACTAGAGCGTCGAATTCCAAAACTCGATTCGCTATCGTTCGACGTTAATTTCCATCGACGACGCGACCATAATCGCGTTCGTTTGCCAAAAGAAATTATCGCGAGATTTTTGTAGGCCAACGGTCGAATCGTTTTTGGAATTCTTATTTGCAGTTAGTATTCGATGCTCGTGTTTGGGACAACGTAATTAATATTTTTAAATTGAATACAGGAAAAGTTTGTTGCATGGTTCTTCTTTTTTGGTGGTAAGAACAATTTTTTCATAATGTAATTTTTCAGGGATAATTAGATGGATAATAAAGGTATTGTTGCAACTTTCTTAATTCTTAACTTGTTTAAAATTTTCCAAGATAATAACGGAGACCAAATTACTTTAAAGTAAAATACTATAAGTGAATTTAACCTAATTTAAAACTCTCAACGTTATTAATTATGGAAGATTAATCTGTTTATAAAACTTTTAAAAGCAAATCTTTGTTCATCTAGGCATTAGGCATCTTTAATTTCTTCAAAGTTCTATGAAACAATATTTATGTTCTCGTATGAAGAGATACTTTTTCAAATAAGTCGATCATAGAATTATCCATGTGGTTCTCTTACAATAACTATGTAATAAAGTGGTTTAATTTTAATCGCGGAACATCGTTTGTAACAAACATACAAAAAAGAAATAAAAATACTGTTGTTTAATCGTTAAATATTACCATCAAATGTACTGCTGGTTTAAATAATATTTGTCTCGGTTTTGTGCAAAAGGTTCCACCGTTTGTTTAACAAAATTTCAAATACGTCTTTTACGCTTCATATTTCGCTCCATAAAAAAATCATATATTTGTTCTGCAAATAAGGAGCAAATGCTGCGCTTGTGTTTGCGCGCGGCAATTCAGAAACAACCTGTTGCACCGCTTTATAGATAAAATTTGAAATCCACGGCCGGTTCTACGAGTGTCGAACCTGTTTAATCCGTTGTTTATGTCAAACGATTTCGATGTTTCAATAAACTTGCTCGGAATTCTGCCATAAAGTGCGGTAACGCGTCCGACTGTCTCGACATGGATTAACCAGACACTGATTGCTCAAAGTCTCGAATATAACAGGGTGTTCGATCAACCCTGGGAAAAATTGTAATGGGAGATTCTGGCGGTCAAAATAGGACGAAAATCAAGAATATCAATTTGTTGATGGAGGCTTCGTTAAAAAGTTATTAACGTTTAAAGTTCCGCCAGTAGTGAATTTTTTTCTCGTAAATGCGCAGAATTTTGGGGGTACGTCTACTCACCAAAAATGATTGTAATTCACCCCTGTAACTAAATATAATTTTTTTAGTATGATTTAAAATTTTCTAATTTCGTCTAAAAATTTCAATACCTCTTCGAATTTTTTTTTCAAAAGTGGGTAGGATTTCGAGGGTAGGTCTATTCACCAAAAATTATTGTAATTGACCCCTGCAACTAAATATAATTTTTTTAGTATGATTCGAAATTTTTTCATTTTGTAGAAATATTTAGGTACCTGCCGATTTTTTTTCATTTTTAGTAATTTTGTTTGACGCCGTATAGAAAAGTTGTCTAGTACCTTTTTGTAGATACTCGTGAGCTCTACTTCGCCACTAAATTTCAATTAAATCCATTGACTATTGTAGGAGTTATGGACATTTAAAGATTGGACCATTTTTATGGGGGTTTTCTCCCTTTTTACATAGTCAAGAAACAACTTTTCGAATATTTTTAGAATCTCTACATATTCCTGACTAAAATACGCGTTGTTTGCCTCTGGAAACATTAAAATCCTTCAATCCGTTCAGAAGTTATGATGTTTTAAACATACGCATGAAATTTCAAGGAAACATATCAACGGTATGGTCAGCCATTGTATTTTCAGTAAGGAATTTTTTTCTCGAACATGCGTAGGATTTCGAGGGTGTGTGTAATCACCAAAAATGATTGTAATCGACCCTTCCAACCGAAAATAATTTTTATAGAACGATTTTAAAAATTTTGTTTGCCAAAAAATTTCAGCACCTACTCGAATTTTTTTCTCGAAAGGGGGTAGGATTTCAGGGATATCTCTATTTACCAAAAATGCTTATAACTTACCCCCAAAACCAAAAATAATTTTATCAGAATGATTTGAAATTTTTTAATAACTTTTTAACAAAGTCTCAGTCAAGAAATTAATATTCTTGATTTTCGTCTTATTTTGGCCTCTAGAATCTTCCACCTTTTTCCCAGGGGTGCCCGAACACCCCATAAATTAAAATATGATTATTCAGGTAAGTAAATGAAAATTCTTGAACTCTGCTGCGGCCAAGAGCGTCGTTGCTTCGTTAAAAAGAATCGAAACAGGGAAACACGAGCATCGATATGTTACTTGAACCGTGTATGTACACAAACAAAACAAACCTTAGGCTCGTTCGTATAGTTTGTTTCTCATTGAACAGGAACGTGTACGGACACGGATGTGTCGAGCTCGATCACTCAACAACCGGTCGCTAGAGCGAGGAGTATCGTGGCGAGAATTAGGATCAGCGTCTCACGTGGTCCGTTTCCGGTCGAGGAGTCACGCACGTGGTTAGGCGCTGGCGACGGTCCACTCTTATGCGTATTCGCGATCACCGTTTGACTCCTCCACTTCATCGTGTACTCTGGTGCAGTTCTTCCAAGCGCTTGTAATCTGCAATTATAGCAACTAGTCAGAGAGGCGATGTTTCTCGACATCGTCGTAACTTTTAGCATCCCGATAAAAGGCCACCCTCGCGTATCACGAGAGGATCTTTTTCATTAAAATTCCGCTTGCAAAATTTTGTTTCGAGTTCCACTCGCGCGTTCCAAGTCGCGCGTGAAATTTTATTTAAAATTTTCATTCCCGATTTTAAATTTCATCTTTGAAGTTACAAATAGAATTCCATCCCAAATTTCATCCCCCGGAAGTTACAGGCAGAATATCACTTCAAATTCAAATCTCCGAAGTTGTAAGTGGAATTTTATTTTAAACCGTCGAAGTAACAGCAGGGAATATTGTATTAAATCTCGCTCGCAGGCAGATTTTTATTTAAATCCGCAGCCACGGATGCACAAGTTGTCGAGTACGTACGAAGGTTTATTCGAACGTTTCTTTCATCCGAGCACTTCCGGCCGGCTCGGTTGCGCATTCTGTAGTATCATTAACTTCCCGTATTTCACTGTACAATATGCCGTGAATTAAATCTTTTTTAGCCGTCGTTTACCAGATCGTCGCGATGCTTAATTGGTCGCTGTTTGAGGCGGTAAAGCTTACCTAACGACCACGGTGTTAGTTTTCCACGGAAGGGTGAAGTTTTTGTGCGTGTCCCTCGAGCAGAATGTGTGCAGCCTCGGGCCCGCCGGGTCGCCGTTCTTGCTGTACTCGTGTATCGTCAGATTCCAAGCGGTGCACGGACCTGGGGCAACAGGGAACAGATATTTCGAACGTGTGTCGCGACCAGTCAGCACATTTCCTACACGTCCCTGGGAAACGTTTCGAGGATCGTTCCACGACGATCGACCTCGCGGCAGCGATATTGCAACTTTATGGTAAAGTTACGCGAGCAGCAAGAGAAACGAATCAGCGACCCTTTATTCGAGATACGCTCGTAAATTTGCAAACGTAATTTCGTGATAGACTGAAATTACGGCGGAAGATTTTGATATTTTTTGATTGAATTTGTTTTTATCTTGAGATAAAAGATAGCAATTCTGCCTATTTCGATCAATCGAATGCAGAATTGCTATAAAAAACGCGTGTTGCAATTCGAGTTTGATGGTTAGAACGTTTCACTTTACTTCAATCGTCACATGTTAATTGTGTTGGAAGGGACAAATGAGTAAGTTACTAATACTTCTACTTCTACTACTTTTTTTTCGGTGCGATAATGGCACTATTGGCTTCGTAGTAACACAATTTATCTTCTATTTTTAATTTTTAAATTCCCTATTTCTTCTACTACTTGTCTTCTACCTTTTTCGTGTTCCTTAGTCCAGTTATTTCCATACTTTCTACTCTTTTAACTTTTATGAGTAAGTTACTGTAGTTAGTTCTTTGAGTAGTGAATAGTGAGTGGTGAATGGTGAGTGGTGAGTAATGAGTAATGAGTAGTAACTAGTGAGTAGTGATTTGTGAGTGGTGAGTAGTGACTAATGAATAGTGAATAGTGAATAGTAACTAGTGAGTGGAGAGTAGTGACTAGTAACTAGGACTAATGACTAATGACTAGTGACTAGTGAGTGGTGAGTAGTGAATAGTGAGTAGTAAATAGTGACTAGTGAATAGTGACTAGTGAGTGGTGAGTGGTAAGTAATGAGTAATAATGAGTAGTAACTAGTGAGTAGTGATTTGTGAGTGGTGAGTAGTGACTAATGAATAGTGAATAGTGAATAGTGACTAGTGAGTGGAGAGTAGTGACTAGTAACTAGGACTAATGACTAATGACTAGTGACTAGTGACCAGTGAGTGGTGAGTGGTAGTGATGAGTGGTGAGTAGTGAGTAGTGACTAGTGAGTGGTGAGTGGTGAGTAATGAGTAATGAGTAGTAACTAGTGAGTAGTGATTTGTGAGTGGTGAGTAGTGACTAATGAATAGTGATTAGTGAATAGTGACTAGTGAGTAGTGATTTGTGAGTGGTGAGTAGTGACTAATGAATAGTGATTAGTGAATAGTGACTAGTGAGTGGAGAGTAGTGACTAGTAACTAGGACTAATGACTAATGACTAGTGACTAGTGAGTGGTGAGTGGTGAATAGTGAGTAGTAAATAGTGACTAGTGAATAGTGACCAGTGAGTGGTGAGTGGTGAGTAGTGAGTGGTGAGTGATGAGTGATGAGTAGTGAGTAGTGACTAGTGGGTGGTGAGTGGCGAGTAATGAGTAATGAGTAGTAACTAATGAGTAGTGACTAGTGAGTGGTGAGTAGTAACTAGTGAATAGTGAGTAGTGAGTAGTGACTACTGACTGGTGAGTAGTGAGTAGTAAATAGCGAGTAGTGGTCCTAAAAACCGACTCTTCCAGTCACAATTTTCGATCGAATATATCCCAATTTTGCAATAATGTTCGATTTCTCTACTACCATCACGAGACACAGGTTTGAATATCCACCGCCTAGCTATAGTAGCAGAACTACAATAATGTCGATGGAATTTCGTATTTCATTTATGGAACGATCGAATTTTGATCAGCCACGTCGATTAAAAATATTGAAATACGTCGGGGGAAAAAATCTGAGCAACGACAGGCCGAGTAACGGCGACGAGAAATGAATTTGTCGAATTGTTATCGGGGGGTTCTGTTTTTACGCGCCTCGGGTCGAATAAAGAGTGGAAACGCATCCGTATCACACGAACCGACCAATTAAGAGAGCTCGTTTCGCAATTAATTGTCGCTGATCCAACATTTGACTCGCAAAAAATATTCCCATTCGATCGATGTTCCCGCGAGCCGTCAACGAGAGAATAATTACATAGTTTAATGTTTTCCTCGAGGTCCAGCGATATTTTCGACGGCAAATCGTTATTTCTGGCGTATCCATCGAGGGTAACTTACCACGTTTTTTAATTATTTTAGCAAACAATTTTTTTTGTTCCTTTTTTACATATAGTTCGCGGTCCTCGATAACATCGACGTTCGAATATCAATGTCTCGAAACTGTTTCGATTCCCGACGCCACCGAACCGCGAATCGAATCCGTTCGATCGCGTTTGAAAGGTTTTGCTGTCGCGGATTTTGTTTCTACGCTCGTTTCGAAAATATCGAACCAACGGTGCATTGTTATTGCTAAATTGCTCAAACGTACAAGTAGCATTTCTGTTCGCGTCGATTGCTTTAATCGAAGCTTTTGTCGCGTACTCTCGAGGGCTCGCCAAGTGGGAACTCCGAGAGAAAAGTTTGCGAAAAAAAGTCGCGCACAAGATCTAACGTCGCTGTCTAAAAAGAGCGTTCGTTCGTTCCATTAACAATAAAAATAAGCTGCTCTGAATTTTCACGATTTTGGAAACAGTTTCTCAAATCAAATAACAATCTAAGCAAAACGCACGATTTCGAGGGAATATAAATCGTCTGAAACTGACGCGTACCGGAAACGCCGCGATGGGCACGAAAGTTCCGTGTAGTCGTCGAAGTTGCTCGATAATGCGACGAAGGTTATCTACGCGTCTCTTAATGACGCATTCAGAAACTACTCAACGAAGAAGCTGATTCAAACTACAGGGTAAACTCGCTACCGTGGGGGAGGGAGAGGAACATCCAAAGCAGCCCCCATTCATCGGGGACACGAGTAAACGCGTTTCCTCTCTGAAATCTTTGAAAACACCGACGACGAGCCGCGGGACGACGACGGTCTGAGTGGCGAAAAGCCGCAGGAATAAAGGAAACCGCCGCCCTTTGGAATGGAAACAGAGGTCGAACGGTGCGCGAAAAGCCATTTTCCGGGTTTGGTCGGCCGCAACAGCGACCCGGGGGTTGCCGCCTTTGGCGCGGTCGCGTTGTTTCGCGACGAGAATGGCGACGGAAAGGCGACGAGAAAAGACAGGGAACTCGTCGAATGGAAAGAGGAAATCGAGGGAAAAGGGAAGCGAACCTCTGTTGACTCGGACGAGACCGGTTCTCGTTGTCCCTGGTAAATCCGATGGTCCTTTTAATCTCGAGTCCCGCTTCCATTCGTTTTCGAGGCTTGGAGAGAGCCACTCCTTTTGCTCGCGTTTACCTCCACGCTTTCACTGGACGGCCTCGACCGGCCTGCTTTGCGGCCGTAAACCGCTCAATGGCGCGGATAGAAATTCCCAGCTAAGAGCCGGAATTGAACGGAATTCGGCGGTTCGGCCACTAAGACGTGGACAAAGTATCGTTCCGCGCTCGCCTCGGATTTTTCCACCGAACCGTCGTCAAAGGATTGCGGATCCCGGCGATCTCCGTTCGAGATTGCGAACAGGAGGACTCTCGTCGCTCGACGGCCGCCATTTCTTGCGTTCGCGCGAGCTACGGACGCCAACAGGCTCTCGAGGACGTCGTTGATATTTTCGACGGGTTTTCAGAATTTTAGTGGGTTTATAAAGTATGGGAGAGTTTTATTACTGTCCATTATTTGGATCTATGGATCTTTCTTGATGTTTGGGTGAAGTTCATGGACCCCTTTCTTAGAGCAAAATATTAAAATATTTGCAGAATTTTTAAAATTAACAATAGACACTGTAAGAAACTATCGAAACGTCGTTGTAATTTTCTTAGAGGTTTCCAACAGGTTTTCAGAATTTTCACTGGGTTATAAACTATATAAGATCTTTATTAGTGCCTATTAGATTTACGGACCCTCTTTGATGTTTGGGTGAAGTTCATGGACCCCTTAATTGGAATAAAATATTTAAATATTTGCAGAATTTAGTTTTAGAAACCTGTAGATTTACATACTTCCTTTTTCAAGGGAATTGATAGTTTTAAAACTAACAATGGACACTATAAGAAGCTCTTGAGACTTCGTTGAAAGTGTCTCAGGGGTTTCCAACGGGTTTTCAGAATTTTCAATGGGATTATAAACTATATAAGATCTTTATTAGTGCCTATTAGATCTATGGACCCTCTTCGATGCTTGGGTGAAGTTCATGGACCCCGTTTTCGTAATAAAATATTAAAATATTTGCAGAATTTAATTTTCGAAACCTATGTAGTCGCATAGCTTGTTTTCCAAGGAAACTGAGTGTTTTAAGACTAACAATGGACACTATAAGAAGTTCTCGAGACGTCATTGTAATTTTCTCAGGGATTTTCAAAGTGTTTGCAAAATTTTCACTGAATTATAAACTATATAAGATCTTTATTAGTGCCTATTAGGTTTATGGACCCTTTCGATGTTTGGGTGAAGTTCATGGACCCCTTAATTGGAATAAAATATTTAAATATTTGCAGAATTTAGTTTTAGAATCCTGTAGATTTGCATACTTCCTTTTTCAAGGGAATTGATAGTTTTAAAACTAACAATGGACACTATAAGAAGTTCTCGAGACGTCATTGTAATTTTCTCAGGGGTTTCTAAAGTGTTTGCAAAATTTTCACTGTATTATAAACTATATAAGATCTTTATTAGTGCCTATTAGATTTACGGACCCTCTTTGATGTTTGGGTCAAGTTCATGGACCCCTTTCTCAGAACAAAATATTAAAATATTTGCAGAATTTAGTTTTCGAAACCTGTAGACTCCCATATTTCGTTTTCCAAGGAATCTGAGAGTTTTAAAACTAACAATGGACACTGTAAGAAGCTTTCGAGACTATGTTAAAATTTTCTCAGGGGTTTCCAACGGGTTTTCAGAATTTTCAATGTGATTATGAACTATATAAAATCTTCATTACTGTTTGTTACTTGGATCTATGAGTGATACTGGTTGTCATAGAATGCAAGAAAGTATGATATGAAGCGAGTGATGTTTTGTATGGATGAGTGTGACACGAGTGTATGGTCTAAATGATTTGTATACATTATGATCGAAGATTGAACGAAAGAACGATGTGTATGAAACTGGTCACTGTGAAGCAAGCATCGAGCGGGACAAAAGATAGAGTTTCCAACGTTATTCAAACAAACATTAAATACACAACTTCATGCACCCACACTATGGACCCTCCAGAATAAAATATTAAAATATTTGGAGAACCTAGTAGGCTTGCATGTTCTGTTTTCCAAAGGAACCTGATAGCTTTAAATTAGAATTAATCTCGACTTGGAGACATCATAAGCTAATGGTTATCGTCTTTTTGCATCGTGATAGTTCCTTACGGCTCTGAGTAGACTTCACTTCGATGACGAGTTGTCGATCCGTCAACGAGTATAAGATCCACGTGCATCTCTGCTGATAGTATTGATTGAGCTTTAGGCCGGTGCTGGCCAGGTCACCGCCATTGACCTCGCCTTCCGGGTTGGTCGTCGTGTGATCGCCGCAGTAAGTGTCGTTGATAAACTCGTAAGCCGCACGGAAATTGAGGCCTGCTTTCGAGAACCTCGACCACTCGATGTACACCGGCGTCCAGCTGCGGATGCCGACGGGCAGCCAGTCCTGCACGATATAGATCGCAGATATGAGAACAGAAATTGCGAAACATAGAAATTATTACATCCTACGATCACTAAACAATTTTTTTTTATTTCACGTTGAATCGTCCCACTGTTAACGAAAAACTGTGTTACACGACTTGAAACTAGTCGAAGATTTCATCCACTCAAACCGGAAACGCGCTGAGATTATATCGACCCTGACAAATACAGGTTGTTAATATTTTGATCCCTACAGTACATTCCACCTTTCTTGCTCGTAGTGAAAGACGAATAGTACTGTGTTTCTTCTAGGAAACCTAACGCGTTTATTTATTAACCCTTTGCACTCCTATGTCGAGTGTGATTCGATATCAATTTTTATCTCAGTAGTACCCGACACTTTTTCAAGTCCAAACCAAAGAGATATCGTACACTAGAAAGTTACAAAATGCAACAACAGTGTAAATGAAACAGATATTTTAACAGGTAAATTTCAAATAAAACATTTAAAGGCGTCGGGGAGCTGCTGGTAACAAAATTGAAATATAATTCGTAGTGCAAGGGGTTAAAAATAACAAAACGAACAAAGACAAAGAACGCGCAAGATTCGTGAAAAAGGTTACTTTCGAAGGTTCGACCAATCGAAAAGAGCATATTTTACCCCCGAAGCGTTTCGCGAATTGCTCAACGAGAGACCTCTCGACTCGCTGGAAAACAATTTCTCTACTTTTCCCCCAGCTTTTCAGCTCCTGCCTCCCTTTCTTCGCCCTCCCCTATACTTTCCCGGACTCTACACGAGCATTATTTGTTTTATTCACAAGCCGGTGAAATCGTTCGAAGTAATTCCGCGCCGGTTGATGGAATAGGTGTTGAATAGAACGAGAGAGCATTCAGTGTCCGAGCCAATACAATCGGCGAGTGCGGCGTTTGTCCGTGAATGAAACTTGAATGAAACGGTGGCAGTCGGACGTGAGCGGCAGAAATGAAAGGGGAAAAGAGAAAACGGCGTCACGGGGGTGCTTGCAGAGCGTTTTTCGAATTAAACGATCGTGGTCATTGATGCGGCGACCGCGTTCCACCACCCCCTCCCCCCCGCCGTTGTCGTTCCACGAAGGCGGAACATCGTCGTTTCGAGCGTCAGTTTCGAAACGATTCGAAAAATCCGCTTATAATTGCCGGACCGTACCATTTGTCCCCGTTCCGGGACAATACTGCCTGACACGGGGAACGCGTAGCTACATCGAACTATTTCAACAGCCGAATAAATGCGACTCGGTGCTCTTACGATTTTTAAAACACACCTACATTCGAGGTTCTTTCAAAGAACTCTGCCACCGTTGCATCGATCTGACCGAATGAAATTACTTGTTATTTGTTCAGGATAACTTGTGTACTACTTGTCTGACTTGTAACGAACCTGTACCACTCGTCTGACCGAATATCGTTCTTCACGATTACAAAGTTATGCTTGATAGTATGGATTTGGAATCCAGTGGTAAGTGTAACTCTAAATTGTGTGTGTGTATGTCTTATTGTATTATTCTTTTGTTTCCTAGTCTTGAAAGATTAACCTTTTGACTGTGGCGCGTCCTAGGAAGAGTCCATCGACATAGATGGCGCGATCGTCACATGCCTGTCGCTGCCGACTGGCGACCAAAAGAGTAGATCTAAGAGATTTAAGAGACCATTCTTACGGTTTAAAAAAATAATAAATGCAAATAAATTAAAATGTCCCATTTTTATCCAATTCCATATCGATTAAATTGGCAAAACAGTAAAAGGTGTTATAGTAAAAAAAATGCAGAGGGCGTAAATTTACGCTTTTCGTATATATTGATAGACTTGTGAAAGCGTATATATACGCCTTTAGCAGTCAAAGGGTTAAATTTTAAGGGGATCCTTGCAAGAAGGCTTTAATCTTCGACTTCGTAGTGGTTTTAATGAGTCGTCTGCTTGTCAACATAGGTAATGGTCATCGATGGTCAAGAGTGAGGCAGACATCAAAAGATCAAAGGTCCAGGAATGGTCAAGAGGCAGGACCAACCGAAATATCAATCCCTTCTCCATAGTCAACCCACTACAACCATCTGCCCTCAATACTATCAATACTAATTCAGTGGATAGTTTCTCAATTGATCGTCATCCATGAGAAGAGTCCATAAGTGTAAAGTCCATAACGTGTAAGGTCTGTGGCGTTGCTTCCTATGCTCGCCACCAGAGGGGTCGCGTTCTCACAAGCGCTCGACCCCTTGGTTGCTACATACAGGGTGGTCCACGCAATTGTTTCAAGTCATAACTCCGTTATTATTGCATTTACGAAAAAATGATAAAGGAGAAAGATAAATGGTTCGAAGAGCACTACATCTGTAGGCCTTTAAATTTTTTTTAGATGCAGCAGTGCATATGCAATTAACAATTGCATCATTTCTTTAAACAGAAATGCATATTTTTTTTTACACATATCGATTCTTCTGTTCATTCTACGTATAAAATGATCAGGGTCCCATGGCAAAAAAATTATTAGATCTCGAGATATTTTCAAAAAATGTCTTACTGATGAGTCCACTTTCCTTTTCTGTCCTACGAATCTCACGAGTTCCTACCCTAAGCGAAGCAGCGCCACAGGTCTACCTGTATACCTCGTCTGTGATTTAACATTGCTACAGGTACGTATAAGAAGTGCATATATGTTCGATAGTCTGCAGTTTAAAGGGTACCCAGTGGGTGGTAAAGGGTTGACTCACGATGAACAATAATTACAGAAGGTTGGCGCGAGGTTCTAAATCAACGATAAGCTACTCGACGAAGACAGCGAGAAAGAAGCGTACGAAGCTTCCTTCCTACGCGCTATGAGCTAACGTAAGTTCGCGTAGAGTGTATCTCGGGTCTCGTGTTTACCTGATAATTCCCGCAGAGGCAGGTGACGATGTGGCCGGTTTCAGAGACGAGCAGAAGGTGGTCCATGTTCTCCAGGGACTCGCTGCTGACGCACTGACAGCCGCTGTCCCCGCACTTGGTTTCGCACGGGTTGTTCGGCTTCTGTTCCGTGCTGCTCTCCACCTGTACGGCCAAAGCAACACCCACATCAACGCTCCACGACCTCCCACACACGGTGCACGTATGTAAGTATTTAGTCGACTGTTGACCCCTTGACGTACGGATTTAATGTAATATTTCCAACATATACTATTTAATTTTGTTTAAATTTCTACAAGGAACAAACACGAGAAAAATGTTATTTTATGAATACCTCATGAATGTAAAACTGTGTTGATTTTAATTTGCAAGGCTTGATGACGAGTGAGTGGACTAGTAATTGTGGAACTTGACATCACGCGTGCATTATTAAGGATAATTGCCTTTTATTCTTTTTCTCATTGCTCTCGTTTCGCGAGACCTTCGATCTCAAACGCGTCCATCTTAAAAATTCGCGTTGTAAACTTTACGGCGGAGCAGTAACTCGAAACGAGTAAACGTAACAAAGATAACAAGGTCGCTTCGAAAGATCGTATCCGCGCCATGTTTGCATTTTACCACGCGACCAAGGGCGAGCAAGGGTTTCAGTAGCTTTCTAGCTGGCCGGGATAAGCATCGATCGACTTACGCGAATGACGACCGACTGATTAGGCGCCGGAATGAAGTGCTGCCTGCACTTTATAGGCCCGTCCATGGCGAATAATCGGTGGGGCTCCGGATGCACCACGGAGCCATTCACCCGTGACGTTAATCCGTAATATTCGACGTCGCACACGCTGGCCGGCTGTTGAGTGCCACCCTCGCGTTCTGAAATATCGACAACGTCGTCGGATGCAATCGTAGTGCGCCGTCGGAAGGATTAAAAATATTTTCGACGGGCTAAAGTCTCGACGAACCGTAAGATAAACCGATTCGCCTCGATCCGTTCGACTGGACGTCGATCGACGGCACAGAAATCCATTCTGAGGTCTTACTCCGCGATCGAACGTCAGCAGAACGTTTAAAAAAATTTGTTTCACTAGTAACTTGCCATTTTTTGACGGCAATTATTTTATTTAAACGTTTGGAGGCATGTACCACCAGGCATAGAAGCTTTAGAATGTGACATTCGTCCTGTCAACGATCCTGAAGTCTTACTCCACGATCGAACGTCAGCAGAACGTTTAAAAAAATTATTTTCACCAGTAGCTTGCCATCTCTTGGCAGTGATTATTTTATTTAAACATTTTAAGGTGTGTACCACCTAGCATAGAGGCTTTAGAATCTGCTAAAAGAGTCTCAACTTTCTTCTTTAACACTAGATCTACGTACACTGATCGCACGTATATTTATTGATACCTTTCATGTTGACGATTACCTTACAATTTTTCATTTGATTAGAATATGTATTCATGCCAGTGCATAAATAAAATTCAACATAAGTTGTTAAAAAATAATATTTACGCGTTCTGCGATTTTAAATATGGAGTCAGACACCCGTCAAATTGACTTCCGTAAATCTAGCGTTAAGAATTTTGTCGTACCTTGATTTAATAATGTAAAGAATTGTCTATTTTCGGGTCGAAAATGTCAGGCTGTTGCCGAACGAGAAAAGGTGTCCATCGGAACCGTCGACGCGAGGGATGCGTAAACAAGCTGGTGCTTTGAAGTTGTTCGAGCAGCGATTCGTCAGGTGGCGTCGAGCGACGAAGCGAAACGCGAAACGCGAGATCGAAGTCGAGTGACGGAAGGTCGGGTACCACCCCCCTGATACGTTTGCCGGTACGTGATTTTTCTCCCAGGACTTTGTTTTCCGCTCCGCGGGTCCCTCGATATGCAGAGAAACGCATGAAACTTTCGTCGCGTCGACGCTACACTTGTCTCTGCTAACTTTATCGTGCCCCGATGCATCGGATCCGTTTCCTTCCTTTTTGCTTCGTCAGTTCTCGATGCTCCCCACTTAAGGAAGCTTCCATTTTTACGTGCACCAGTCTTTATTCAACGTTTAACAACCGTTGCTCCAAAAATTGAAATTCATTTCTAATTGCGAGGGTAAATATTAAGTTTCGTAATTTGGGATATTTCAATTTCACTGTTTTAACACCAGATTGCCCAAGGAAGTCATTTTGACTGCTTTTTAATTTCAATTAGAAAAACAATTATGACACAATTTCTTAGAATTTTGTGACTTTTTGTACGACATATAAATGCGTTTATTAATAATTGTAGTTACCTCCCCCCTCCTTCATTTCCGGTATATATATATATATATGTGTTATACCTATACTTGTTCTAACAAGTTGTTTATTTTATTTCTTTTGCGCCCTAAATTCATAATATTAAAACCTAATATTAAAAATTAATTTTAAACAAATTTCTTTACACATTAGTTATTCTTTCACAATACAGTCATTTTGACTGCTTTTGGGCAATATAGGTATATACCAAGTTTCAGTCTTTCTAGTGTTAATATACTAGAGTGTGTAATCTGACGAATAAGTCGAACGAAATATGTTTACACACGAATAAATAAATAGAATTAACAATTTAAGAAGAGTCTGTCTGGTCAGACACTGCTCCTATTCCACTTGCTTGACCAGAAGAATAAAACCGTAATTTCGTAATTTGAGATATTTAAATTTCACTGTTTTAATATACTAGAGTGTGCAATCTGACGAATAAGTCGAACGAAATATGTTTACACACGAATAAATAAATAGAAATAACAATTTAAGAAGAGTCTGTTCGGTCAGACACTGTCCCTATTCCATTTGCTTGACCAGAAGAATAAAACCTTTAGGTTCCTAGCCTTATTACACTCGTCTGACCAAATGAAGTCTTACACTACTTCAGTCTGGCTCGCGACAGACCTCTATTACTCTACTAAAATGCTAAACTCGCCATTTCTAATTATTTATTACGCCAAATACAATGCTTCCTCGATTCAAAGAACGTGTTAAAAATATCCCAGATCGAAGTACCCCAAGAATAATAATTTAAAATTTTTGCCAGCGAATTGCTCGAACCGCAAGGGATGAAAACGCATGTTCCAATTTATGTATCGTTTCCAATATCCACCAATGTACCGTTACATAATTTATTTCATAATTGAGCTTCCGTGGGCTTCTCGAACCGCGATCGTCGACGCAGAACGCGTTTACAACGCGATTATCATCATCCTGCAATTTCGTCCCGCCCGAACTCGATTCTAATTTATTTCCTCCCCCTTCCCGCGCTAAGGTCGTTTTTATTCCGCGGGATTCTCGCGTTACAGACGCGAGCAGAAGTCGAGGGACGAGCTACGACTTCTGCATCGGTCTCCCTTCGGACGACAATAAAATTTTATGCGCCGGGATAGATTGCCTCCCGAAACCAGACAGTTCCGAAGGGATCGAAGTCGAGTGGCTCGTGGCGCTGGAAGACAATTTCTCCGGGCAAAGGAATATTCAATTAATGAAGGGGGTCGGGGATCGATGTTCGTATAATACGTCGATTCCATACATAAATGCATAGGAACGGATCGCGGTTGATCAACCGACTGGCTGTCTGAGCAATTGTTTACGCATTACGTAACGCATTACAACGTCTCTAGAAACAATATTTCTCCAAGCGAAGCACGATACCGGAACTGGATACCGGCTCGAATAAACGTGGGAAAACAAGTCGAGAAACGTGGAATATATTTCGCGTGGCTTTTCGCTCTTTTGTAAAGTCAATTCAGCGTACAGGAAAGCTTAACACCGCAAGGTTTGATCAATAATTTTTTTAAATGCATTCTAGAAAGCGCGTTGAATTTTACGCGTGTTTCGAATGAAGTTTGTTTATATCGTTGGCTGAGAAAACGCGCGAACGAGTGGGTTTTCCGCTAACTGGCCATATTGGAATTGTCCGATCGGTGACAGTTCGATACTACTTGTGCAACCGATGGCGTTGTGCTTGTCTAGCCATTCACTGTGACTGTTCGACCAGCGATGGGTCTATACTACTTGTCTGAGCGTCCCTCCGTCGCCGATAGCGATTGATGCGCCATAAGCCCGTTACGAAGCTGGCCCTAACAAACGTGTGATCCGTGGAATTGTTAAAACGTTCAATATGTGCTCGATTAAGGTGAGTGGCTGGATAATCCCTGCTTTCCAATTATGTGTAAACTCGAAATGCACTTCTGTATGCTCACTACATTATATCGTAGGAAGAAACGAACGAAATAGCAGGAGAAAAGCAAAGGAAAGAAGAGAGTGTCCTCTGAAACCTGCTGGTCGAGGAGTGTGCATATAGGAATCGAGCACTTGCGAGAAAAGTGAAAGTCGAGCGTAGCCCTCTACTGGCGAGCGAAGGAACTTCTTTTAGAAACAAATACACGCATGCAGGGAGAAGACAATCTATAAATAACAATAATAAAGATTTTATCTATAAAATTAGGTGTTTTTTTCAGTCGACTAGGCCAAGGATGACACCGTAGCCATAGATTGCGTTATTGTTGGTTGTCTGACGGATATCATTGTATTCGAAGCAGAGTGTCATTGCACAGTGTCGGTATCACCGGGCATTAAAAAAGAGGCAAATGACAGGAATGGGTGAACGCAGCCCGTCGACAAACTGCCGGCATCGATTTGACGTTGATTGACGAATGTCCTCCTCGTTCGTCAACGTTATTACGTTTACACGTGGCGTACGCGTGTCTGGATACGCGGAACGCCGGGATCGATAAGATTGGCTCCACTGTTTGAATTCCGGGGCGCAATTGACAGCCGAAAAGTCCGGGACACATGCAAGAACTCGAACTCGAACTTGGTTCACCCTAACGCGACTCGTGTATCGATCTTCCTTTCCGCGATCGACGTTCGCGCGAAACTTACGATCTCTTCGTTTCTTAAATTTCGAATAAAAATTGGGAAACTATCTCCGGAGCATTTACCTGTCGACTGAAATTAATCGAAGCGTCGGGATTTTGGACTCAAATCAAATATTTGATTTCGCCAGAGCGCTGGAGAATTTAAAGCACGATAAAGTTATCGGAATAGACGATCCTCCGTATTCGTTAATAGATTTAACGTATATTTCCGCGACTACTGTGTTCCAGGAGTATTAATTCGAAAGGGGATTCGCGTATGCCAATTTCACCGGAGAAAATTCGTATAATTTCATTGTCAAACGCTCTTTTCGTTAATTCTCGGGTTTTATTCGCCCCGCGGAGTATATTTCTATTTAAATTTCGCTTTTCGTGGGCATTGTTCGAGCTCCAGGGCGATCCACCCTGTCGCAAGGCGCAGGGGGAACGCGTGGTAGAGATTTTATTAAACTTCCAGCGCCCGACGATATCCATCGTTTATCATTACGCGTCCGCGGCGCTGTAATAGTGATTTTTCGCCTGGTTGCGCGTTTTTACACGCGATAAATCCGTTCCATCGATTCGTGCTTGATGGATACTCCATGAAAGCAAATAAAACCATCCAGCGTGGGGGGTTGGGACGAGCGGTAATAAACGCGTCTGATTTAATACTCGTTTTCTGGATAATGCAATCCAAAAATTCGACTCGACGACTCGTGACGTTTTCGAGAACTCAATTTTCCATGAATTCGTTTCGCCCCGTTTCGCTTTAATCCCACAAGGCATCGGGGGCAATTTATTATCCCGTTTAAATCATTGTAAATGCGCGTAAAATTTCATTCGCGGTAAAAAAGTAATGTCAAACGACTCGACGTACGGTTCTGACGTTTCCGCTATGCATTTAAAAAGTTTCTCGTTTTTGTCGCAGGGGGCCAAAAATGTGTGTTAAATTCAGCGATTTTATAACAGTTTCGAAAACTCAACAATTAGCCAGGAATTTTTAATCGAGGTATTAATTCAAATTTAATAAACTAAATATAGCAGATCATTTCATTCTTAATATGCATAAACGTTTATAGACACAAGAATAGCCAAGTTTACAGTTTTCAGATGTAAATCTCCCGCGACTCGACTTTGCAGTCTCTCGAGTATAATGCCGCGATTCGATAAATTTTCCAAGGGAAGGTCTTTTACGCGGAAAATCAGACCAATAAAAGATTCATCGGGTCGTTCGACGGAATTCACGGTTTCAATTTTTATTAGCCATAACACGCCGACACTGTACGCGCGCTTTATGGATATTACGACATTCCTGCCCCGTGGATCTATCAACTCTCGTATTAATAACTTTGCGTCCACGCGACAACCTATTGTTAAACACTATTCAAACTCAGCAGGTAGGAAGATAAATTTACTGGACCAATACTTCTCCGCTGTTCGTATGTAAATTTTACACAAGCGCTCGACTGACCCCTCGATTGCTACATACAAGGTGTTCAAAAAATTCAATATTTATATGGTACATAGGATACACTGTACTGAGTAAAAAAGCTTTAGTAAACATAGGTCGAAAGGTCAACCGTTTTTGAGATATAAACATTTTTGTTTGCTAGTATCATGATTGTAGGATGAATATTGAATGGTTTTTTTTTAACACTCTGTATACAATCCTCGAACGACTTCCCAATATCCCAGTCGTCTAAGGCAGACTTTTTACGCCTCCTATTAAAAGAAATTTAAAAGCGTCACAACGATTTTAGTCTGTCAAGTATAAAGCTTCGAGTCGATAAATAAAAGATCTTCCAATTTAAATCCAAATTCGTCAGATTATTTTTCTTCGAGTCTCGAGTCACCAAATTAAGACTTTGCAACACTGTTCGTTAATTATCCAACTATTTTTCAACGCAGAGAAGCCAAAGCCAAGTTTATCGGATCGTTTGTCTCCCAGTCCTCAGGCGTAAATTTCGCGACACGACTTTGTAGTCTCTAGAGTACAACGCCGCGAGTCCATAAATTTTCGAAACCGGGTGTCTTTCAAGGGCGTGGAAAATCAGACCAATAAAAGATTCATCGGGTTCGTTCGACGGGTTTAAATCTTTTTTTGTCGATAGCGCACCGACACACTGTAAATGCACCTTATGGATAGTTCTGCATTCTTGGCCGCGGGCCAACCGAGTTTCAGGATTACCGCGGGGACGCATCTATATTCATCCGATTAAGGGCTCGAGGCTTTAGCATCGATATGTCGGGTCGCAGTTTCGGTAATTAGTCGGGCGTAATTAGCAGCGAGCAAGCACACGGATGCGGAAAGCTTAAACGAAGAATCGGAGCCAAAATAATCGGGCGCGTTGCACTGACCGCGCTTGATTTTATTCGACCTCCCTACCCCCCTCCTCGATATATCGATCCTTTCGTAGCTGTTAATTCCTGAAATAGAGATGCGTTCGCTGGCACGGTCGATCATAAATTCGTCCCCTATTTCGTTTAATTAAATTTTCCATCGATTTTCTTTTAATTAATCCCGGGGTTCCGCGTTCGCGTTCGTGTTCGTGTTCGTGTTCGCGTTGCGCGCGCAGAACGGAAGCGGCGAATTAAACGGACAATCGAAGCAGCCCGTCGTCGCGTTAAAATTATCCGCGAATCGGGCGTATCGTTCGACCAAAATATACATATACCGGCCGGACAAAAGGTAAATTCGGTTCTCAAAATAATTCCCGTAGCTGGGTACGCGAATTTGCATAAAAAATGCATACCGACGCGTCCTGTTGTTGTTGCCCCGCGCAATAAAACAATCGCGATTACGCCGACGCTGTCGCGGCGTCTGCGTCGTCGTTCGATGAAATATTTATCAAATATTAATACCTCGCGCGGAGATTTCGATGCACCACGGGGCGCATCACGCATCTGCGTTCCTGGCTTTATTAATATTTATCGTATTTATTTCAATCACTGCCAAGGTAATGGCGATTTCCTCGTTAATTATTCTGCTGACTTTCGAACTCGATCGAGATCTCGAGCCTCGTGGAGTATAGAGAGGGTGTTCGACCATCCCCTGGGAAAAATTTTAATGGGAGATTCTAGTGGCCAAAATCAATTTTTTGACTGAGGTTTCGTTAAAAAGTTATTAAAAAATTAAATTAAAAGATTTCAAATTATTCTGAAAAAATTATTTTTGGTTGCAGGGGTCAATTAGAATTATTTTCTATGAATACGCATACCTCCGAAATTCTACCCACTTTCGAGAAAAAAATTCGAGTAGGGGACAAATTTTTTGACAAAACTAAAAAATTTCAAATCATTCTGAAAAAATTATTTTTAGTTACAGGGGTCAATTACAATTATTTTTTGTTATTAGACATACCCCCGAAATCCTAACCAGTTTTGAGAAAAAAATTCAATAAGTGGATAAATTTTTCGACAGAATGAAAAATTTTCAAATCGTTCTAAAAAAATTATTTTTAATTGCAGGAGTTAATTATAACCATTTTTAGTCAATAGACATACCCCTGAAATCCTACGCATTTTAGAGAAAAAAATTCATTACCGAAAAATGTCTGACCATACCGTTGATATGTTTCACTGAAATTTCACGCGTATGGTTAAAACATCATAACTTCTGAACGCATTGGAGGATTTTAATGTTTCTAAAAGCAAACAACGCGTATTTTAGTCAAGAATATGTAGAAATTTCAAAAATATTCTAAAAGTTGTTCCTTGACCACCTAAAGGGAGAAAAACCCCATAAAAATGGTACAATCTTTAAACGTCCATAACTCCTATAATAGTCAATGGATTTAATTGAAATTTAGTGGCGAAGTAGAGGTCATGAGTATCTACAAAAAGGTACTAGACAACTTTTCCATAGGGTGTCAAACAAAATTACTAAAAATCAAAAACGAATTTTGAAGAAAAATCGACAGGTACCTAAATATTTCTACAAAATTAATAAATTTCAACTCATCCTGAAAAAATTATTTTTAATTGCAGGGGTCAAATACAATCATTTTTGATCCTTAAACATACCCTTGAAATCCTACCCACTTTCGAGAGAAAAATTCGAAAAGGTGTGAAATTTGTCGACAAAATTAAAAAATTTCAAATCATACTAAAATTATATTTAGTTGCAGGGTCAATTACAGTCATTTTTGGTGAATAGACCTACCCCTGAAATCGTACCCACTTTCGAGAAAAAAATTCAGTATGGGCGGAACTTAAAACGTTAATAACTTTTTAACGATGCTTCCATCAACAAATTGGTATTCTTGATTTTCGTCTTATTTTAGCCTCTAGAATCTGCCATTAAAATTTTTCCCAGGGGTCGTAGGACACCGTGTATAGCGATGGGATTGAAATCGTTTCGAGAATCCCTTCAGAAAACACGATATTTTGCTAACTGTTGAAAATCCTGTATATATTTGGAAGTTTCGAACGCTTTAAAATTATTTACTCTTCAAACATTTTAATCGAGTCGCGTGTTATTACAGCCCGGAGCGTCGAAACACCTCAAAAAGCCCAGCTTTCGAGACTTTTGAAACATTCTGAACTTCCGAAAGTGTTCAAGAACGTTAAAGTATTGTCGCCTTTTAAGACTTGCGCGAAACAATTTTCTTAAAAATAAAAGAGTCGGTATTTCACGGCAGAGTATCCCGGGATCTTATTGAAAACACGAATACGGCGGGAATAAAAGCAACGGGGGGCGATAAGCTGTTGAAGAGACGTACGAAAATAGTCGGCTTACCATTGTGGAAGTAATAAGAGACGTCCATATATTCCTCGTCGGTGGGGCTGTTCGTGGCTCGTCTCAGAACGACCATAATATCTCTGCCATTAGACGAGTACCTTTTCGGCTCGATGTAGCTGGAAAAAAAGAGAAAAAAGAAATGGAAACGAAAATAGTCTTCTTTTACGCCGGGGCGGCAGTAATTCGCGAGCCACGACATTCGCGTCGTTTCCTCGGGGCTGCGTGTAAATCACACACCTGTGCTATCAGAAACGTCGTAAAGAACGCGGCTTTATCTTCCATCGAACGCTACGACACGATGTTCCCCGACATCAACGCGCCCCACGAGTAACTCGCAAACAGATTTATCTCGATCATTTCACGCCCGTAAATCCATAATAAAAATTCCCCAATCACGTTAAATTAAATAAGAAACGAAGAACAAACTCTTTACTAATCGATCACTATACAGAGTGTTTTAGAAATGCTTAAGACTAGTTAGGAAATTGGTGAAAATAAATTCCCTCTGCAATTATACGTATGTAGTTTCGTTTAAAGAAATATGGTCTAAAAATCTTATAAAATATAGGCTTCTACGGACCAAACAATTAGTCTCTGACACTAATGTTTATTGCAAAATCATTTTCCAAGGTGTGACATTTACACAGGAACAACGCAGACGTATAACGGGTGTTTGAAAGCGTGGTTTCCGCACAAAAGCCTCCGAGTTAACTTGGTCAATATGGAGTTACGCTAGAACTCCCGTTTATCAGAACGAAATTTTACCCGCTGCTCGATTACCCGAATTATTACGATTAAATCCATTTTAACGCGAATTCTGGTTACCAAAAAAAAATCAATAGGTACGAAGGGAATTAGCGAACCCCTATTGTACGTTTTTAAATGAATTTTTACTTCACCGGGTGGGGGGCTGTTAGTTTGAATTACTGGAAAACGAAGAGTGGCGTCCAAGGGATGTTTTATAAAACGTAGCTCGCGGGAGTCTATCTAATGGCGACGGCGACGTTGTACGACACAAATTGAAGAAAAGTGGAATCGACAGAGGTTGACTGAGATTGATCGAGGTTGACCAAGGTTCCTCGAGATCGACACAGGTGACTGACTCTGACCGAACGTTCCACCTTTATGTAATAGATCCTCCTCCATTCGATTATTTATACTACTTTCGTCGTCGATTGAAAGCTTTCACGAGTGGATATCTGATAATAATTCTTCAAAGTCTCTATTACACAATTATAGACGATATACAAATTTTCTTTGTTTCCTTTGCTTTTAATAAATCGTCAAATTTACAAGCTAAATGGACAGATGTTCCTTCGTTCGATTATTTGTACTATTTTCGTCGTCGATTCGAAGCTTTCAGAACTTTTTCGGATGTTTGATGATAATAGTTCTTCAAAGTCTCTATTATACAATTACATACGATATACAAATTATCTTTGCTTGTTCTGTTTTTAATAAATTGTCAAATCATTATCAAATCCACAAGCTCCTTCGTTCGATTATTTCTACTATTTTCGTCGTCGATTCAAAGCTTCCACGAGTGGATATCTGATAATATCAATTCTTCGAAGTCTCTATTACACAATTACAGACGATATACAGATTTTCTTTGCTTCCTTTGCTTTTGATAAATCGTCAAATTTACAAGCTGAATGGATAGATGTTCCTTCGTTCGATTATTTGTACTATTTTCGTCGTCGATTCGAAGCTTTCAGAGCTTTTTCGGATGTTTGATGATAATAGTTCTTCAAAGTCTCTATTATACAATTACATACGATATACAAATTATCTTTGCTTGTTCTGTTTTTAATAAATTGTCAAATCATTATCAAATCCACAAGCTCCTTCGTTCGATTATTTCTACTATTTTCGTCGTCGATTCAAAGCTTCCACGAGTGGATATCTGATAATATCAATTCTTCGAAGTCTCTATTACACAATTACAGACGATATACAGATTTTCTTTGCTTCCTTTGCTTTTGATAAATCGTCAAATTTACAAGCTGAATGGATAGATGTTCCTTCGTTCGATTATTTGTACTATTTTCGTCGTCGATTCGAAGCTTTCAGAGCTTTTTCGGATGTTTGATGATAATAGTTCTTCAAAGTCTCTATTATACAATTACATACGATATACAAATTATCTTTGCTTGTTCTGTTTTTAATAAATTGTCAAATCATTATCAAATCCACAAGCTCCTTCGTTCGATTATTTCTACTATTTTCGTCGTCGATTCAAAGCTTCCACGAGTGGATATCTGATAATATCAATTCTTCGAAGTCTCTATTACACAATTACAGACGATATACAGATTTTCTTTGCTTCCTTTGCTTTTGATAAATCGTCAAATTTACAAGCTGAATGGATAGATGTTCCTTCGTTCGATTATTTGTACTATTTTCGTCGTCGATTCGAAGCTTTCAGAACTTTTTCGGATGTTTGATGATAATAGTTCTTCAAAGTCGCTATTATACAATTACATACGATATACAAATTATCTTTGCTTGTTCTGTTTTTAATAAATTGTCAAATCATTATCAAATCCACAAGCTCCTTCGTTCGATTATTTCTACTATTTTCGTCGTCGATTCAAAGCTTCCACGAGTGGATATCTGATAATATCAATTCTTCGAAGTCTCTATTACACAATTACAGACGATATACAGATTTTCTTTGCTTCCTTTGCTTTTGATAAATCGTCAAATTTACAAGCTGAATGGATAGATGTTCCTTCGTTCGATTATTTGTACTATTTTCGTCGTCGATTCGAAGCTTTCAGAGCTTTTTCGGATGTTTGATGATAATAGTTCTTCAAAGTCTCTATTATACAATTACATACGATATACAAATTATCTTTGCTTGTTCTGTTTTTAATAAATTGTCAAATCATTATCAAATCTACAAGCTCCTTCGTTCGATTATTTCTACTATTTTCGTCGTCGATTCAAAGCTTCCACGAGTGGATATCTGATAATATCAATTCTTCGAAGTCTCTATTACACAATTACAGACGATATACAGATTTTCTTTGCTTCCTTTGCTTTTGATAAATCGTCAAATTTACAAGCTAAATGGATAGATGTTCCTTCGTTCGATTATTTGTACTATTTTCGTCGTCGATTCGAAGCTTTCAGAGCTTTTTCGGATGTTTGATGATAATAGTTCTTCAAAGTCTCTATTATACAATTACATACGATATACAAATTATCTTTGCTTGTTCTGTTTTTAATAAATTGTCAAATCATTATCAAATCCACAAGCTCCTTCGTTCGATTATTTCTACTATTTTCGTCGTCGATTCAAAGCTTCCACGAGTGGATATCTGATAATATCAATTCTTCGAAGTCTCTATTACACAATTACAGACGATATACAAATTTTCTTTGCTTCCTTTGCGTTTGATAAATCGTCAAATCATCGACAAATCTATAAACGATCTACAAGATGAAGTCACGAGTGCACCAAAAATGCCACGAATCCCAAACCGTAATATAAATCTTGGATAAAAGGATGTATTCGATCGACGAGGATGGAAATAGAAGGAACCGTGATCGCGGTGGAAGAACGTTAAACGTTTTTCGAGTCCCTCGATCCTCTCGGATTTCAAGCCGGTGAATAATAGAGGAGGCCGTTCGGTGCGTTTGTTCTCCTCCATTATGAATAATGTTCGCTTCAATTTGTTCCGCGAGGACCTTTGAATAGAATTCGCAAGGATTTCGCCGCGGAGGACACGTGGAAAAGTCACCGCCCGTGGTCCTCGGTCCCCCTCCTCGTCTCGTTCCTATTCTTTTCCTTTATCGCTAAGTCGAACCGCCCGGAGGAAGTTTCCCCGTGAATTATGAAGCCCGCGCCTTTATGTCAAAGAGCACGCCATGCTTGACAAGCTTACGTGTGCGCAGCAGCTCGGGAAGTTGGGCAAGTGGCGGTACAAAGCGCGATGTAAATTTTCCACGTCCTTCGCCTCCATTTTCCTCGGCAGCCAAGTTGCAAATGGACGTCCCGGGAACGCTGCCTCGCGATAACCTGCGCCTCGATCATTCCTGCTACGGTGTATGCCAACCATAAGTCTAACGCTCGATTAGATCTCTCTCCCAAATCGGTTATTAATTATTCGTGTAAATTAAATTGTTAGGAACTTGGCGAGGTTTACGATACGGTCGCTTGTGAATAACGCCATTGTGGAGGATAGCTAATTTCAATTCGCTTGTTAATAGTTACAGCTGAACGAAAAATCAGGGTCCTGAGGAATCATTACAAAAATTGAAGCACTTAGGAACTCGTATCAGGGCCCTGCACTGTCGTTTTTAATAGTGATTGACGTGTCATAAACCTTCCAACTAGTTGCGTGGTCGATTAACGGCCTTGGTAAATGGGTTAGGTCCCCGGTTGGGTGTTGGGAAATATCTATTCTTCGGGGGGTCAAGTTTGTACTCCGACTGATAGCTCAATGCTTGGTAACTAGCTAGCTCAATGCTTACAAGCTAGATAGCTCAATGCTTGGTAGCTAGCCAGCTGAATGTATGCTTTCTAGGTAGCTCAATGCTTGGTAGCTAGGTAGCTAGCTAGTTCAATGCATGCTAGTTAGGTAGCTCAATGCTAGGTAGCTAGCTAGTTCAATGCATGCTAGTTAGGTAGCTCAATGCTAGCAAGCTAGCTAGTTCAATGCTTGGTAGATCAAGGCATGCTAGCTAGGTAGCTCAATGCTTGGTAGCTCAATGCATGCTAGCTAGGTAGCTCAATGCTTGCTTTCTAGGCAGCTCAATGCTTGGTAGCTAGCTACCTCACACCTTGCTAGCTAGCCACCTCACTCCTTGCTTGCTAGCCACCTCACTCTTTCCTAGCTAGCTAGCACTGGTGCAACCTGGACTAGGCGGATTTCGGAAATCCAACTCCTAACCAGGGACGTTGGCTGATTGATCAGTTTCGTTAAGCCTCATTGGCAATGTTAGTATATAAGAAGAGCATCTGAAGACTTTGGCAGATCACTAACAAAATTAAGGTTGGAAACGTCACTGTATCTCTTGTTGAAATTAATAAACACCAAATACGAAACCATTAGTTCTCCTTCATAGAAGATGGTCCTTCGAGTTGCATCTAGTCGGCACACCACGT